TGCGCCAATAAGCTTCCAATTCAATACAAAAACACATCATCGCAACATACTGATCAATGTTGTCTTTTGGCCTGAAAAATCCTAGCAACCTGAATAAGGGCTTATGGCTTTATCCACAGCAAATAGTCGTTGATCGACAAGGAAGAGTTCTTTCACTCAAGTAACCATCAAATGTGGCTTTCGTGACTTTGGTTGTTCCCTCCGATGGGGTGTTCACGCGCAGACACACTGCTGAATGTGCATTTTGTACTGTGTTTTACAGTGTTTTCTGCTTCTCGACAATGCTGCCCTGGGGGGGGGGGCAGGAACAACTGTTTCTTCGAGTGATGTTTTCTGCCTTTGTCCATTTGCACTGGTTTTTACAGTGTTTTTCCCCCTTTCACCCTTTTTTTTTTCACCATTTGCGTTTTCCCTTGGTTTTTACAGTGTTTTCAGGCTTCATGACGTTGCTGATGCTACGCTGCACATTGGGGTGGGGTGGGGTGGGGCAATCACGTTCATGTGAACTTGACAAATCACGTTGTTGAGGCTTCATCATGTTGCTGATGCTACAGGGGGGATGTTAACGTTCCATGTAACTTGCTCACGTTGTTGATGCTACGCCACGCTCGGGTGGGGGGGATGTTAACGTTCCATGTAACTTGCTCACGTTGTTGATGCTACGCAACGCTGGGGTGGGGGGGGATGTTAACGTTCCATGTAACTTGCTCACGTTGTTGATGCTATGCCACGCTGGGGTGGGGGTGGGGAAGGGGGAGTCGTTTGCCTCTCTTGTCTAGGGGTGCTTTTTTGTTTTTTTGAACATGCTGTGGAACTGGGCGGCAAAGTATGGGGGTGTCTGTGGCGCAACGTGTGCTGGAAAGTGAATGTAATGTTGAAACTTCTGACTCAGCAAAGATGACAAACCAAGTCGGCCGCGCGTGAATAGGCCGTCCGACCGTGGTTGTTTGATGATATACAAGTTGGAAACCCAAAAGAAAGAGTCGCAACACTTACAACAGTTTTGATTTAAAAAGGAGCATGTTTTTGTTGTTGATTTAAAACCGGAGGCAAGCGGCAAACACCGGCCTCTCAATATGGCACAATGGCACCAAAACACTTCAATCTGTTTTCTTGCAACAAACAGCTTTCCAGCGAAAAAATATCGTCTCAGCCTCTTCGATTGGAAGCTGGGCATGCGAAACATTGGAAGCCAATCTTTACGTTGGAATTTTGAATGAAACGAGTTATGAGCTGGAAGCTGGGTCTCCTGATTTCTTTCCATTTGTAGATGATTCCGATATAGAAATTACGGTTCAATCACGAGACCACTACCACTTGCCATGTATAACCACTTGCATCAAATTGAATCATAACCACATTTTTATAAAGTTGAGCTGTTGATTCATAGTATCCGCTACCAAAAACGTGATGGTCAAATTGCCATCAAACAATCCCACCTCATCCTCTGCGGAAGGGTCCCACCTAAGCCAGCAATAGATGGCCGTTTTCCCGAAAAAATGGGGGAAAATTCGTGGTTTAATATGGCTTCATACACTTGTTGCTTGGGATATTGATGGGACATGAAACGAGTAAAATCATGCAACTGGCATGCATTGCATGCCAGTTGCATACGACCCTAAAATTGCTATCAATTTTGCGAAATGAGTTGTTTTAGCCAGCAAACTCTGGTGGTTTCTCACAACCAGAGGTGGGTTTTTATACATGGTGCCACTGTGCCACCACCAAGCACCAGGGTCAGCAGAACTTCCCAAAAATTCACCAGTCGGCATTTCATCATCCCACCTTGATCACCTGGTATGGATCCGAAGCATCCACTCAAGGCATCCACTCTCCGGTCGACCCCAAGCACTGGTGGCTGGGGTTGTTCGAAACTGAGACGACAACACTGAAACTAGTGTAGCAATGGTTTGCACAAATCATTCCTAGTTCATGCCATTGCTTTCGCAGCTTTTTCATCAGCTGTTTTCATATCGGTTGAAACAAATCTGAGGTGTAAGTTCATCAATCTGTGTGAATTGAATATTGGGTTGAAGATCCTCGATGTAAACAACGTTGTGAAGTGCATCCAACTTTCAACCGCGACTTCCAGAAACTCGGAGAGGGAAGCCTCTCCAATGCTGGCTGGTGGAGTATCATCCTCCAACAAAAAAAATCACTGGAAAAAATCGCAGGGTTCTGCAAGTTAGATAAGTTAGATACCCTCTGGTGAACTAACATAGCAATGGAAAATCACCATTCTTAATGGGAAAATCCACTATAAATAGCCATTTTCCATTGCTATGTTAGTTCACCAGAGGGTAAGTTAAGATACTGGTTTTCCAGTACTCAGTTCCATGGCAGCAAAAATCCACCGCAGTTCCCATGGAGTTTTCCAGAAAATCATGGGGATTTCCCGATCTGATCGCCATGGCCATGTTGACAGAAGGGTACCCTCTGGTAATTTAACATAGCTATTGAAAATGGCCATTGAAATAGTGAGTTTTCCCATTAACAAATGGCCATTTTCCATAGTTTTTTGTTAAATTACCAGAGGGTAAATCCATCGATATCCCATGGAATATCCCATGGACATCCCATTGACATCCCATGAAATATCCCATGAAATATCCCATTGATATCGCATGATCTATTATTTCATTATTGTTCCATGATCCCGTAGGCGATCTACGACCATCTTTTTATCTACAAATCAAGCTCCATTTTCGGGACTTCCCCATTTACTATCCCCCAATTTAGATGACAATAATCCCAATTTTCGGGCTACATAGCCATTACCCTCTGGTAAACTAACATAACTATGGAAAATCACCATGTTTAATGGGAAAATCCACTATTTCTATGGCCATTTTCAATAGCTAACTGTTGACATAACCAGAGGGTAAAAGTCCCATGTTTCATGGCTGCCTCACAGCCCACTGAGTCAAAAACTCCTCGCTGCCGTCACTCTCATCACCTTCGCCCGAACAGTCGGTGAAAAAAGCAAGAACAGTCTGGGAGATGTTGGAAACATGTTCGGAAAATGATTCTTAGAAATGAATATAAAAATGCAAACAAAGAATGTTGGGAATCTGATTTGTATTCATACAGGTTTGATAATCCTGGTGATGCAGAGATGCGTCAAAGTTCTTGAGCTCTATGGGTCTTGGTGGTCAAAACCATCTTACAAAAACGGGGTACTCAGCCTGTGGTGCATTCCCAACTCAAAGAAGCTAGGCTTTCTGTAGATACTACTATCTTTTTAAAAAATAGAATCCATATTGTGCGCTAGGGTCAAAAGATTGTATGTGACAATATGGATGTTTTTGTTGGCTTTATGGATGGTCATTCATCCCTGTGAAAACGGATGGAATATGATGGAATCGTCCGCTTCCACTTCATCATGCGTTTGGTGGTGCCCCAGCTCGTTCAGTTGGTGAACACAACTCCAATACTCCAATCACTATAAGCTGTACGATACATTTATGGAAATTGACTAAAATGGTATAGTACAGCCTTTTTCAACGATGAAGAATGAATGATTACAATGGAAAAAATACAGTTTTAGTGTTTTTTTCACAAATTCCACGATGATGCATTTATTCCAATAGCTGGATGGTGTATTTTTCCTGGAAAATACCATAAAGCAACGGATGATTCCTGGCAGTAAGGCCATCCATATCTATATAGTACACCACTATATATCTATAGTTGATGGGTAGCACCCTTGTGGCTCAGTTGCACAGAAAATTAAAACATTTAGCTGTAGCCAAATTATGATATAGCTGGAGTCATTAATATGGCTTATTTAGTAATGCTTAAAATGATCACATACTTAGCATATATATATATAATACTCCAATACATATATATTATATTTCATATATATATATATGTATAATATATTATATTATATATTATATATATAATATTGTTGTATGTTCGATAATATTTACATATATAGTATATTTACATATAATTACATATAATATATATATACATACATACATATATTATATGTCATATATATATATGTATAATATATTATATTATATATATAATATTGTTGTATGTTCGATAATATTTACATATATATTATATTTACATATAATTACATATATATATATTACTGTAATATATATATATGTATGTGTATATGTATAGATAGATATTCTACATGTCACAAATGATGCGATTTTTGCCCCCGCCCAGTGTCCCACTGTGCGCCTTTCGGTGCGGTCTTGGCCTTGCGAGCCACCTGGCCACCACGAAGTTTCGGATGGATTCTGTTGGGGAGATCCCAGCGAAAATGGAGGTTTTGAATGGGAAAACCATAGGAAAACCATAGGAAAATGGAGGTTTTTTTCATGGGAGATAGTGAGAGGGTGAAAAAAGTCGCTTTTGATGGATGATAATCATGGAATATATCAAATTTAGATCATGGATGATATGGAAAAATAAAAGTTTTATATATGGTTTCAGAAATCAAGATATATCAAGATAATGGATGAAAATGGGATATCAATGACCCAAAACAGACGGTGTCATCAATCGCGGCTCGTGATTTTGTTGAAATCCCCGAAGTCGATGGAGCTTCGGAAGGGAAAAGATCAGAAAAAGAGAAATAGAAGGTCTTCCAGCACGCCATGTTTGATCCATGTTTGATCCATGTTTGATCCATGTTTGATCCATGTTTGATTGCTGGAGTGTACACGGATATCCAACTGGATATCTTTGGGACTTGTCCAAGTGCCATGTCCAAACAGCAACTTTTCAGTGACAATTCCCATCGCAGCCCCAAGGGGTTGATGAAATCCCTGGGAATTCTATGGATTTGGGAGGTAAATCACCATCTTTAACAGGTAAATCAACTATTTCTATGGGCCATTTATAAAATTTTAAAAATAGCTATGTGAAATTACCTTAAATGGATCCAAATGGTACCCATATCCACACAGATTTCATTTGCAATCTGCAAAATGTCATTGGATTCCTGAGTTCAACCTTGCTCATTCTACAACTTTTTGCCATCGAAAGGAGAGCCGCACCCAGGCGTGTTGCATTGAGCGGCCAGTGAACTGTTTGTGGATATATTCCACCATAGCTATGTTCGGAGGCCAGTTAGTAGCCTCAACTACACCAAGTATGAGATGGTATGATACAAAAATTCTTAGCCCGAGAATGATTTGTTGAAAAATGGGGAGAATGCACCCCCCATCATCTATATATCACTCCTCAGGCGCCGCTGCCGCTTTTGCAGCTCACCAGCGTGCGACAAATGGCCGAGAGCTTCTCCACGTCCAGCCCGGCGCGGCCCACCACGAATCCGTCCACGTCCGGCAGCGCGGCGTAGTGCTCCGCGTTGCTCTCGTTCACGGAGCCTAGAAGAGGTTTCCCCAGAAGGACGTTAATCTGGAGGACGGTTCGAAAAAACGTGGAAAGAGGTTAAAGAGGTTGGGATATACTTGGGGTTGGGATGATGACATTCCCAATATGATGGGAAAAATCATCCATTCATGTTCCAAACCACCAACCAGTTATGTATTTGTCCCATTGATTAACCAATCATTCGCTTCATACCATGATCGCTGAAACAGTTTTGATCTTCTGATTGGTTGATCGGGGTTCATCTGGTGGCGCCTGTGAGGCGCCAGAGCCCCCGATGGCAATGCAAACAGCACCCTGTTTGACACAACCGGTGCATGGTCTTTTCTATGGGCTTTTTGATGGAGAATAATTTGTGATGACTTATAACCTAAGAGAACTTATCGAACTTCTGATGATGACCCAAAATCTCATGATAAACCCCATGCCTCATGCCATGCTTCACGTGTCCGCATCACTTTCCCTAACCCCAGGCAGCTTTTCCTAACCACTGTCGCACCTGTGTAGAGGAACAAACACTTCGAGGTGTTCTCTCCAAACTTCTCTTTGAGCCACTGTCCTTGCTGCTGAGATGGCGACGAGATCTGGAAGGGAACAAAACTTGCAGATTGTTGGAAGTGTCCAATCAATAATCTGTATCTACATATATATATATATATGTATATATATATGTATATATATATATGTATATATATATATATGTATACATATTTGCGCGTAACGTGTTTTTTTCCTCCTAGACAAGGCAAACCTTTTTTTCTACATGGAAATGGAAAGAACATGAAAACATTGTTTAGTTGCGGGATGTTGGGGGAGGGTTGCTCACAAAACGTTTCACATATAGAAATTGAATTAACTAGGACGCTACATACAGTAGATATGTACTGAGGTATAGATTGTATAGATGTATATATTAACAATATTCCTTGGCAAGTATTGCCCACGTATAGAGTCTGTCCAGCATCCTAGAGTATGTCAGTATGTACTACAAGAATAGAACAAGTTGCCACAAAACCAACATGAACCAACAATGTGAACATCAGTTCAGCAAAAGGGACGTGTTTTGCCAATTGGTGAAAACTAGTCTGGTTGGTGAACATTCAAATAACTGTTATCCTCTGGTTATTTCAAAATAGCTGCATAGCTATTGAAAATGGCGCATTCAAATAGTTGATTGACCTATTTAAAATGGTGGATCTTTCTAACGTTTACCAGAGGGTAAACCTCAATTTTCCTATGGTTCTCCTATGGTTTTCCCATTACCAGAGGTTATCCAATTCAGTGAGGTTACCGATGAAATGTCACCGATGAAATCCAGACTTCATCGACCAAAATCAGTGAGGCCCATCTATCGATGAAAACGAGTGACAAAGAACTTTGAAATCCCACAGAAAACTGTGAGAATACATCCATTTTTAATGTAAATGGAAACTTAACAAATATCCGAAATCTATCTAGATGTTGGTTTCAACTTTAACATCAACATTCCCCACCCTTTTTTGGAAACAAATGACCAGTGTTCACAGCCCTTGGTCCTTCAATTATACTGGCAGGTTAAATTTCCCAACTAATGGATTATCATAACCACAATATCGGTAGTATAGTCCCAGACAAATCATCAAACCAGCATCATTTACCCTCTGGTAAACTAACATAACTATGGAAAATCACCATTTCTAATTGGAAAATCAACTATAAATGGCCATTTTCAATAGCTTTTTGTGTGTTTACCAGAGGGTATATCCGTACGTTTGATGCTTAAAATCGCTCATGGATAATGGTCACATTCCCAAACGAATCGTCAGGAGGTTTCAAACAGTACCAACCATCATTTATCCCATCATGTATCAACTATATCCCCTAATATTGTTGCTTAATAACCTTCTGTAATATTATATGTAATGTCATATATATATATAATGTGTATATATTTATATTATATTATATTATATTATATTATATTGTATCATACTATATTACATTGTATATTATATTTTAATATATATATATATATTATTATATATATTATTATATATATTATTATATATATTATAATATATATTATACATTTTATTATATATATTATACATTTTATTATCTATATATATATTATTATATATATATAGCAACGTCTTTCATCAGGATGTCCAACGTGCTCCACCAACTCCAAGCAACTCAGGGCGCTGTGCACGCGCTGCGCCTCGTTTGGCTCGCAGGGCACCGCGCCCTCACCGACCGCCCAGACCTGGGCTCGGATGCCGGGCGGATGTTTCCTGCAGATGTTGGTTAAACCATGTTTGATCTCGCGGCTAAATATGGTTAATATATATTATATGGCTATGGATCAATACCTATTAATTGGACTCATACGTCCCGCAGCCTTTTTGCCATGCACGATGGTGTTGCCACCATGGTTAAGTTAACCATGGCACCGTTTTTAGCCTGATCTCTTTCCAGGCTTTCGTGAAACTTTCATTTTGACTCATGGCAGAGTCCTTCTTCTAAAGTATGCCCATGGCAGGGCTTCGATGCCCATGGCAGGGCTTGCTCAAACCGACCCATGGCAGGATCACTCAGCCAAAAGTCTTCCGGCAGGAAAGCTACTGCTCAAAGTCGGGACGACTACATTGGCTCATACGGCAGCCTTTTTGCCATGCACGATGGTGTTGCCACCATGGTTAAGTTAACCATGGCACCGTTTTTAGCCTGATCTCTTTCCAGGCTTTCGTGAAACTTTCATTTTGACTCATGGCAGAGTCCTTCTTCTAAAGTATGCCCATGGCAGGGCTTCGATGCCCATGGCAGGGCTCAAACCGACCCATGGCAGGATCACTCAGCCAAAAGTCTTCCGCTTTCCACGCTTCCCACTCAGGTGACCTGAGTGCTCGGCACAAAATAGTGACGAAAAAGAAGCAACCCTATGCTTGGCGGTAAAGGTCATCCTCAGGGATGGGAGGAGCGATAGTCCATCGCAAATATAAATACGAGCGATGTTTGAATTTTTCCATCTCCCTCTCAGGAGTGTCTTCTCCATCAGTCCATGACTTTGCATCTCATAGGTCGCTCCACCACGACGCAAAGAGTAGGGACGAAACCCTAATTCGCCAACATCCAGCTCAAGCAAAATTCGCTTGAATAAATCACGAAAAGCGCTCCCGCTTTTGCCCCAGCATGGATTGTTGAACATTCCTTGCTGCGTCCTAAGTTCCACCATAGCACGGGCAACTTCCAGCGTGGTGGGATCGTGAATGCTGACACTTTCACGACTGTTGTTGCGGATCCCACTTTTGCTCGAAGGCAGGGATACTAAACCCTTCGTCTCATCCAGCAGGAAATCGCTGGGTCTGATCTGCAACAGTTCTCCTGTTCGGAGTAAGCAGTGGAACCCAAGCAATACAAGGCTCGCCATTGTCAGCTCCCCCCTTGACACAGACCAGCCAGCCATCGCCAGCACGATATCCTGGGTCAAGGGGGGAGCCCGACAGGGAACCTCATACTTTCTCCATATACTGTACAGCCTCCAGCTCTTGTGAAGCTTGCGTCGCGTGCTCGGCTCAAAATGATGGAGCCCTGACAAGGCATCTCCTATGAGATGAAGGGGGCAACCATCTTCAAATTGATCCTGAATCCATGCTGCTATGGTTTCGTCCAACTCTATTTCTGAATTAACTGACTCCAGCAGCGGAGCCATCCTTGCAACTGCTGTATAGTATCGATCTAATGTCGATGAGGTGATACCGACTTCTTCTAATATAATATCTCGCCTGGCCTGGCGCCTCTGTTGTTGAGTGGCCTGTCCAGGCCAGAAGTTACGAGCGGCTGTCATTGTCGGTGGGATTCTCGGAGCTCTCGACGTGGGTCACGATCAGCTGCAAGTCCCACGCCAGCAAGGCCACAGCCAGCCGGGCGAGAAGGGGTTTCAGCATCCGGGAGCTACTGCGTCCCTTCGAGATCACACTCATGGCCACATAGGAGTCTGTTAAGTGAAAGATCCTAACATGACATTCCCTAAGGTGTCGTATTCGCCACTCAATACTGTGAATAATGGCCCGTACTTCAAGGTTGTTAATATGGTCTGCCCTGCCCCATTTGTAAGCAAACACTTTCTCCCAGTTCCACCAATCCGTACAAGAGCTTTGCCTAGGGTAATTCTTGGGATTCAAAATGGCACCTGAGCTAATGCGAACGTCAGAACCTGTATGATTTACTCGTCTAAGCAGTGAGCCATGTAAAGCTGCAACACTCATGTTTTTCGTTCCAACCCCATAACAAAGTTGCCTCTGAAGTGGTCCTTGCACACTTAGAGGGGGGCAAAACCCCGGAGCAAGTCCCATGCGACCCCACAATACGTCATAGCTTGGCACACAAACCCAATTCTTAACCATCATGGCAGCAACAAACGCAAAGGAGTAGCAGTTGAAACTATCTCCTATCAGTGTCTTCCGCATGTCCTCATAGCCCTTGGGATCCCTTTTAATATCACCTGCGTTCCAACAGAGACATGTATGATTGTACCCTAAGCCATGGAGGAGTTCACGCTCAACTGCACTGATTAATCGCCATTTGTGGTTGACCCATACTACAAAGCGATCATCATATTGATATGGGGGAAACCTGTATTCATTGGCCTGCCAACGCAACTTTCCATCATTTGAAACCCTCTGGAGCCCGGCTGGGCGAGGAGGTGGTCTTTGACGTCGAATACTTTTCATGCAAGTGGGTAGAATTGCCCCCTCATGGAAACCAGGCCATTCCGCCCCGGGCTCCAACCATTGATCAAGTTGAGGATATTCATGCCACAAGCTAATCTCAACCCAACGCTCTTTTTCCTGGTACCAGGCACCCTCCATGGCTTCCAGCTGGGTGTTTGTCCAGCACAGCCTTGGCCTATGAATAGGGACTGCATCGGCAGGGTCCAACCGCCATGGCTTGACCCCCAAGGCAGTGCTTATCTCGCCTTCTGCACTTTCATCCATGCTTGCCACATTTTCGGCCACAAACTTAACCTTGAAAGCAAGACCAAAGACACTCCGAGCTGTCTTGATGACCCTGATGAACTCCCAAAAGAGGCTGCTTTGCGCCCCCTCCAGGTTCTCCCGGCCATGCTTGGCGGAAGACAGGTCACTGCAGGGGAAACCTCCCCAAAAGTGTAACTCCTCGATTTGGGGGTACAGGTACCTCCATGTCTTCATCTCTTCTGCTGTAAGGCTCCTGATGTCCCCTTTGATTTGCACGTGGGGCCATCTCCTGCTCGTCACCCTGTTAGCTGGCGCGGAAATTTCATAGGATATGCAAACCTCTGGAATAACACCGCACAGGTCATAGCACCTGAAGGCACACCCTATGCCGTTGAAAAGTGACACCAGGAGCACCGGTATTCTCTTCCCTGAACTCTCACCTGACAGATCAGCAGCAGCAAACTGCGATCCTGCCGAGGTCAGGGACCGGCTGCATCCAACCGCACCCCCTGTCGAGGATGCGTCGCTCGCCGTGGTCACATCACTGATTCCTGCTCGCAGGCACGTATGAAACAGCCAACATGCGGAGCAGCAGTTCAGGAATTCTGATCTCACCTTCGCCTCAGCCAGAACCCCAGTTGCTTTGCCAGCGATGTATTGCCAGGTGGTGTCAAAGAACGTCATGCAAGGTCGCCTAAAACTCATGCAATGCACCCAGCGACCCGCCAGCACTTGTATCCACTTCTTCCGCAACTGGGGCTTGGCGATCACAACAAAGGTGCTCTGAAGCAGCTTCAAGAGCCGCTCCTTGCTAGGGCCCAGCGTCCCCGCAGTACCAGACAGGTAAGCCCCAAGCTCTTGCACAGATCTGTCACCTGATACTTTCTTCTTTGCAGATGATAACACCCCAGCTGCGGTCCATGCATCCTCCAGTGCTTCATGGCAGGCTTCTGCATGAGTGCTCGATTCTCCAGCACCCACCTTTTGCATTCCGCAGTAGTTGTCAAGGTAGACATGGTACCAAGATTGGCCGGTTGCCTCAGCCGCATCACATGCACTGATCAGCCATGGGGGCAAGGGCGAAGTGCGGCGGACCCGGTGCTCCACAGGTAACCTGGCTAGAACCGTCAAACGCTCCGCCAGTTCCTGCATTATGGAAACAGCTGACGCCCATCCCATTGGGATCACCGAGCATCCAGGCCTATACCGCACCCCCTTTTCTAACCCTATTTCTTCCCCCATAAAAACAACATTGAATGCCATCATTCGCTCCCACACCCGGGGGAGTCTGAATAGATAGAAAGCAGAAGTCATATCGCTTTGAAAGAAAGAAAGTTGTTCATCCCCATGAAGATGCAATGACAGATATTGTGTAATGGATGGTAGGTCATGAGTTCCACCTTGTGAGTGAACAAAAACGCTATTGGTAGGGATCAAGTTCATGATGATTCTCTGGACTTCCTTACCCGAACTCAAGAAGGCACCTTTTCCTACTGCAAACATGCCGTTGAGTACTTGTTGACCATTGACAACCAACACTTCATCATCACGCACCCAGTTACAGATCTTACGATCAACCAGAAGTTTAAAAAGAGCAGGTGCTTCCCCTTGTGCCACATGAACCTTTGCTTGCAACTTGATGGTCTTGTCTTGGGGCTCAACCAAACTCAGTTCGGGATGATCGAGAAACCACTTAGTTCCATCTCCTACCAAACTCCTAGCATCAATAGCACCACCATGAGTCTTAGGGGGCAAAGCTGGAACAGCTTGTTCTACTCCCAGTATCTGCATTTTTGGGACTTCCTCCCCGGTGTAGCTCAAATAACGTGACGCCAGCTCTTTTTCTGCCTCGGCTGGAGTCCGCTCGAGCTCATAGTCTGGGGCCAGCACCCTCTGGATGCTTTGACGGAGGCACAGCAACGCCCCCTCCTGTACCCTGGTGGGCTTCTGATCAGGCGCAGCTCGGCCAAAGCCAGCCGCACAGTTCAGGGCCAAAATGGCCAAGGCCACCCACACATCTTCCAATTCTTTCCCGGCAAAAGGCCGGCCACAGAACTCGTCAAGCCCGGCACGCTCAACAGCCAGGCGGAGATAGGCCACATTTCCAAGTGGCAAAGGAAAAAGAGGCCGAGCCTTGGTAGGCCAGCCTCGGTGCATGGCTTTGGGCTGTACAGCCCTTCCCAAAACCACCTGACGCAGGGCTGGTAAGACCTCCCGCTCCGCATCCAATCGAGGAAAGCTCAAAAACGTCCAGAGAAGACAGCGGCCAGCGGCATTGAAACTGTTGCCGCGGCACGCCAAGTTCTTCAGCAGCTGCAATCCTCGCTCGAGATTCGGAGCCAGAGGCACGACAAAAGCCAGCCCCTCACTCACAGCACCATTAGATGAATTCCTTGGTGAAACCTCTTCAAACTCCTTCACTTCTTGCCTGGTTCCTCTTGCATCTCCTTCCAAGGGTTTGCATCGCCTTTTTGAGCCGCCTGACCTGCCTTGTTCTGCCCCTTGCCTTTTCCTTTCCCGCGGCCCTTGGGGGCATCTCCTTTCCGTCCTTTCTCGTTCCAACCGCCCCCTCCCTTGCCGCGGCCTGTAGGGGAGGCGTACCACTGACCTCCTGTGTACCCCTGGCTTCTCTGCAGTAAGCGCCTGTGTTTCTGAGCCTGCAACATAGTCGAAGTAGTGGCGCTTGTTGTAGGTTCCAGTGGGTACATTTCCAACTGACTTGCAACCTGCCAGTTCCCGTCGCCTAATGCTGTATGAACCGCTATGAAGCGGCTCGCTAATGCATCGGCGGTTTCTGGGAGTTTGCCAGCGCGAAGGAGATCTATCGCTTGTCCCAACGCGAACAGCTCTCGGACCAGGGGGCTGTTGTTGGAGTGGAAGGGACGGATCATCAACGCAAAGAACGTCGATATCCGAACCCCCGAGGTCAGGCTCGCAGCAGCCCCCGACGACTCCAACAATGCCCCCTGGTCCATCTGCTGCTGCGCGTGTTTGATGAGCATTTCCATCACGCTCCCCGGTTCGCGCGCTGCTTTGCGCCTGAGTGGGGCTTCGCAGGAAAGATCTGAATCTTCGCTGCTCTCCCCCCTTTTCCTTCGTCGCCTGCTTCTGGTGGACGATGAGCTGGAGCTGCTGGAACCTGAACCCCCTCCATCTGGGTCTGGTTTGAGGCCTGCACCCAGTCCTTCTCGTCTGCGCCTCTCCTTTTTCTTTTTCTTTTTCTTTTTCTTCTTCTTTCCGCTCAGCAACTCTGCCAGCTTCCGGAAGCTCTTCTCTGACGAGCTCTCCTTCTTTTCCTTCCGGGCCAGAGCTGCCTGCTGCTGGTTTGACTGCACGGCTTGTGCCAGCAGCACCGCAGAGGCGTCCCCCCTGTTCAAACTCTTCTTCAATCTCTTCCCCTCGACGTCGCTTGTAACCGCCGATAGGTCTAGGCCTAGAGGAGTCAAGCGCCCAGGATTCAGGGCCGTGCCAGCCACCAACCGGCTCTCTGCCGCTGCAGGTGATAAGGCACTTGGCGCGGGTCCACCAGCCAAAGCCTCTTCTCCCCGGTGGGCCCTCGCACCCCCACTGCCAGAGATGCGTTCGCGGGTGTTCCGGAGCAGTTCGCGCAGATGAGCCCTCTGTCCTGCAGACGCTGAGTCGTCGCCCTCTCCGTCGGCGTCTTCGTCCGAGAGAAGGGATACACAATCGGCCCCAGTGGCCTGCTTCTTCTTTCTCCCATCTGTGGCCTTGGTCTTTGGGGCCTTCCTTGCATTTGCTTTTGGAGCCTTCTTGGCCCCAGGCGGGGTTCCAACGATTTCATGAATGCGGTCACAGCCTTCTTCAAAGCTGCAGTGCCACTCTTTGACAGGTACGAACATTCGAAATTCATAACTGTCCACACCCTCACTTTTGTTGCATGCACAACCTTTTCCTCTTCCAATCCAATGCATGGATCTTCTTGACATAGGTGGAGATGCCCTCCTGTAAGGCACCCTACCACTTCGGAGAGTTGCGCCACACTTTCGCACCCCAGGACCTCCCCACTCAGGGTGATCCCGGATGCGTCGCGTGGGCGCACCTCTTTGACCAGCAGCGCAAACCACTCTTCTGTGCCAAGGCCAACGGAGCTGCCGGCCAAACAAACTTCCACCACGCAGCCAACAGGGATGGTCAGTATATCCCATCCAGGCTGCCCTACCTCCACCTCTTCCCCTTCTACCACCCCAAAATCGAGGATGGTGGAGGGATCTGCTCTCTTGGATCTGCCCGCCATTGCGCCGGCTAGCGGGGCGATGGGGCACGGTCCCAAAAGCTTCCCGGCTGCTGGTAGTGAAATCGCCGGTACGGGTCGTCTGCTGCTTTGTAATGCTTCTGGTGTTTAGAACCACCTCGATGTTGTGGTCTGTGTCGCTTCTTCTTTTTCTTTCGTCCTTGATCTTCGTGTCCTTCCCTGTGATGGTCCCGTCTAGACCTCGATCTCCTCCTTTGCCTGCTTCGATGTCGGTCCTCACCTTTCTCCTCACGTCGGTCCTCACGTTCCTCTCGGTCTTCCCTGGCACGACTGCTGTCAGCCACAGGCGACCCACCAGACGCACGGGATGTCCTGCGCCTAGGAATCTCAGACCGCTCCTTTTCCACAGCAGCTTTGGGCGCCGGTTTAAGTCCTGAAGGAGGAAGAGCCTCAGTCTCACTCTCTGCGTCTTCGTACGTGTGCTCAGACACTGCACTCTTCGAACGGCCCTCTTCGTCCTTCACCACACTTTTAGGGGGTGTAGGCACACGCTCCTCTCTCTTTTCAACCCGGTCTGCTCCAGCTCCTTCAGGAGGCGCTTCAGTGCGCTCAGTGGGGGGTGCAGCCCTGACAGGCTCGGGCGTGCGTGCTCGGGCCTTCCCAGCACCCGCCAAGCCAAGCCGGCGCAAGGCTCTGACTTGCCTGACAGCAGTTGTCAGCACGTCAGTTGCCAGCGCCCGCGTGCCTGTATTTCCCCACCCACACTTGAGCTCTCCAGTCAGCGCCTCAACTGAAGAGCAAGCCAGACACCAGGTGTCAGAGAGATATGGCTCGCCCTGATGGCACTTATTGCACCTCAGGGCCATCCACACCTAAATTTGAGCCAGAAAGCTACCCCAACACCAAAAAGGGCTGCTATCAACGTTCTCGCCCAAACAGTCGGGACGACTACATACCATTTTTAGTGGGATGAACATCCATAAATCCCAGCTATTTTGATGTGAACAGAAGGGGTACTATTGGTTTTGACACACTGCCATATATATGATATAAGTTACTATGCTGAATAAGCCCAAAAAAACATCAACCATCGGTTATCAACTATATCCTCATATGTTGATGAAGACCATATTTGATAGTGAAAATCCAACAAAAGCACCCCTCATCAGCCACAGTGAATCCCCGTTTGATTGTTTTAACTCCCATTTTGAGAATTACCCTCTGGTTATTTAACATAGCCATGGAAAATGGCCCATTTATTGATGATTTACCTATTAATAATGGTGATTCTCCAGTTCGCTACATTAAATAACCAGAGGCTAAATATGCTACAAAAATCACGATGAAAATCCCCTATCTTTCAAGACTAACCACAGATACTCCCATTTTCAATGACAAAGCAGTTAACCATGAAATATGGTAACTAACCATCTGGTTACCAATGAAATATGATAATGCTTATATCCTATCCCAAAGATTCTATTTATTCTCTGGTTAATCTTAAACCATAATTTAAATATGGGATGGTTTGACGCAAAAAAAAAAACAATCACTATCCACCAGGGGCACAGGTTCGTAGGCCACCGCCATCCGATCCCAGGCGTCCGCCGGAACCGCCTGAAACCGCACGGTTTAGGGCTGAAGAGCTATGGGGATATCTCGGGTGTGTAGAACATGTATAACAGTTACTTACTGGTGCGTTTTACGTAAGGAATGGATGGGTTGCTGGGGGTTACTGGGAAAAAATATTTTACTAGTGCTTATGGATTCCCGAAAATTCCCTGCTCAGCACCAGTAAGGTTAAAATCTATTTTTAAAAATTGAGACCAAAAAACCATAAAAATCGACCAAAAACCTGATGTGACGGTTTGAACATGTTTAACGAATTACCACCACAAATATTTTCATCACTGGGAGATTTGGGGAAGATTCTTCCTTGAACACACATCGTGATCTCGTGGGAAGATTTTCTGGCCTCTTTGGCCAATCTCCAATCAACAATTGGAAATACCATAGTTAGCCATAGTTAACCATCATTGGAAATTCATGATCTCCAATATTCTCCAATCAACAATTGGAAATTCACTTTGATTGGACACCAATTTTCAGAGGAAATCCCATAGGAAATCCCATTTGTTTGAGGAAATCCCATTCTCCAAACATGGAAATCCCCCATTTTTGAATCATCACTTTGCACACCAAGAATGCAATGCACCATGAATGGGCGAATCACCACTGTAAAAAATCTGCTGCAGCCACGGCAAGCATGGGAAACACATGGGCAACTTGTCTGTCGAGCATCAAATACGGATCGAAGTGAATAACAAAATCAGCTTCAAACTCAATCTTTCAAGTGCATTTCCCGGGACTCCCGCAATTACCTGTGACTCTGCCACCGGCCTTGGCCACGGATTCCAATTGCTCCTGGAACAAAAAAGGAACTCCATTGCCGTGTGAAATGACAGGATTCACATTTTTTCTACACCCAGATCATCTATGCTAGAGTTACTATAGTTGCTGCGATTCACCTTCGGAATTTCCCCGAGTTTTGTAGGCGATACTGAAATATGGGACCCACTAAAAAAAGTTCGTGAGGAGAGCAACCCAACAGGCAGAATGTTCAGAACGGTTGCGCAACGGGCAGTTCACCGTCTGATTTGCAAAGTCTTGGGCCTTTGCCATTCCTGGTATGAGCTAGAGATAACATGATAATATCATATAATATCCTTGTTACATTCTTATTATTCACTAATCTGAAGTAAACCCATTTCGAGTGTGTTCCCTTCCAAAACCATCACGTCATAGAGGTTGTTGAGATGACAGGTGTCTGTCCTCACGTTCTACATGGTCCATGAAATTGAATGGACAGATTCACGATTCACAGATGTTCTTTGCTCGTTCTTTGCACCTTCACCTTTCCATATTTGCAAAATCTTGGATCTCTACACTCCAACTGTTCTAACCTTCAGTTCCAAATCTTGGTTTCCAGTATAGCTACAGTACCCTCTGGTAATTTAACCTAGCTATTGAAAATGACCATATATAGTGGATTTTCCCATTAAAAATGGTGGATCTTTCCATAGTTATGTTAAATTACCAGAGGGTAAACCTCCATTTTCCTATGGTTTTCCTATGGTTTTCCTATGGAAACCACCATAACCAGAGGGTAACCCCACTATTTCTCAGGGCCCCCAAGGCCGGCGCCTGCAGCACCTGGAGCTCCTGCCCCTTCTCGCGCGCCTCCTTTTTCTCGCCGATGGTGATGTTCACCTTCCTGGAGCGTCGGCGGCGGCGCTGATGGTCAATGGGGTCTTCTGGCCTAGTTTCTAGATCATTTCCAACAGAAAGAAACAAGTTCACCCAGAACTGAAATTGGATAACTGAACTTGGTAAATCCCAGATACCGTCTGGTAAACGTTTACATAACTATGGAAAATCACCCTTTTCAATGGGAAAATCCACTATAAATGGCCATTTTCAATAGCAAACTGTTGATATAACCGGAGGGTACCTGAAAGAAACAACTGAGTTCTGCAGTGAGGTCTGGATTCTTGGACACTTGGCGTGTCGACCAAGTCACAGGCCACTCTCCAAACATCGCCTACGGCGTTGCGGCGCAACGGCGAGGAGGTTTCCTAAGTCATAGGGGTACCCTCCGGTAAACTAACAAAAAGCTATTGAAAATTGCCCATTGAAATAGTGGATTTTCCCCATTAAAAAGGGTGATTTTCCATAGCTATGTTAAATTACCGGAGGGTACCCCTAAATCATCCATTTCCAGATGGGATTTTCCATTATAAACCAACCATTTTTGGGGATCCCCCATTTATGGAAACCCCCATATCCAATGTTGACTACTTAACATTCAAGATTGATTTTCTAGCTTAGGGCTTTTTGAATGGGAAAATGATGTTTCTCAATGTTTTGCTGGTCATGTACAGTAGTTGGTGTGTACTGTAAATCACAACCTTTTTGGACAAAGCCACATCATATTTATGGTTATATATAATATTTATATAATATTTATATATATATATATCAGTTGTATCTCATTGTATCCCCGTTATCTTACTATATCCCATGAAATATCCCAGGACTTCCCATCATAAAACTGATATCATGGCTCGGGTAAAAAAAAACATCAGTGTAGACAAACCCAGCCTCTCCCCATTTTTATGGGTATTATTTTCCCATGTAATTACATCATGATCCCCTTACCCTCTGGTAAACATACAAAAAGCCATGGAAAGATCCACCATTTTTAATAGGTAAATCAACTATTTCAATGGGCCATGGCTTCAATAGCAAACTGTTTTTCCATAACCAGGTTGGGTACATTCCCATTGACATCTATGTAAAATGGCTACATTCCCATGTTGGGTTTCTAACCCAGAAACACCCTAAAATCAATCCGTAAAAATGCCCTTTGACATATTAAAAAAAAAAAACGCAAAAATCCCATGGAAATCACCATTTTAACATCCACAATTTGGTGCTGAACTGCTGAACTGCTGAACCCCATCACCAGTCCTCACCATCAAGACCCCATGTCGACAATCTGATTGAACAGATGGTTAAACCGGTTAAACCGAACAAACCGATGTCAAACCCGAATCTGGGGGCCAACCCTCATCAATATATCCCATGATATCAATGATACCTGCTGAAACCCCATCAAAAAATTAAGTCCCAGATATTGGAAATTGTGTATCATAATCCCATATCATTATTAACATTGTGATATCATTAATAGTATTCCCATACATATAGCCCCATAAGCCTCCATGAAATTGGAGTTTGAATCATTGAAGTTCCATGGCTGTATCCCATTATATATATCCGCATTTGTGGTCATTAATGTGACTCTTAAACCTACCATTCACCCAGATAAATCCCAGCTCAAAATATCTTAAAATCAGAGTAATTGATTTTTTTCCCAATATCATTGTCCAATATATTGACATCTCAATCTCATTACACTCTCACTACACTACATAGTTCCCATATGCGTCTGAAAATGGGGTATACCCGAATCATGAATAATATGGTAATTCTAATCAAATGGCAATTAATGGGGTATTTTTGATGAAAAATTCCCATATTCCCATGACTCCAAATGGCAATTTTAAATTTTAAGCAGAATCATGACGAAGCATCGAAATGTGGGTGGGTTCACCAGGTAGTTCACAAAAACCGACTGGACTCCCCTTTTTGAAATCCAAAAAAAAAATCCCATCACCATTATTGTTGGGCTACCCATTATGTATATATATATATACATGATTACCCACTATGTATATATACATATATATATTATATAATTATATATATGTACCTAATAATCCCTACAGATGTTTTACGTATTAAAACAAAATGCCGGTGACTTTTCCCCAGTTCGCTGCAAAATGGCCTCACTTTCTGGCTGATGAGGTCGTGGGACTCGCCCAGCACGTTTCGCCGGTCCGAGTGCCCCAGCAGGACCCAGTCGCAGCCGATGCCTGCGATCTTCGTCGGCTCCGGGTGGTGGTTTCCATAGGAAAACCATAGGAAAACCATAAGAAAACCATAGGAAAACCATAGGAAAACCATAGGAAAATGGAGGTGATACCAGCTTGATGTGGGCACCCAATGAAGGACGAATTATGACGATGATGGTTGTTGAACATTCGGAAAAATAACAGGTATATGGGGACGGGTCAAAACCCTGGTACCCCTGGTGAACATCAAAATAGCTGGTAAATGGATGTTCATCCCCTAATAAACTGTATCTATAGGTATTGACCCATAGCCATATAACCAACAATAATGATGAATGGATAGCTGTAATATGCTGTAATAATGTGGGATTCACCCAATGCCATAAACAACCATTCGGGGAATGTTTTGTCAATAGTAACGTGATGTGGGATTCCCCAGTAGGTGACATTAATATGTTAGAAACAACTACCATGACTGGGGATTGTTTCAATAAGCCATCAAATGGTGATGACTTGGGGGTGGTTTATGAAATTGGGTTTACCATATTAAGTGCACCCCAAATGTCCTCAAAAAAATTACACGTATCTGGATTATTTCTTGGGATATGTGGACAATTATGTAGGAGATGAGATCTGAATAATTCTTTGGTAATTTTGGATACTGATGGTGCTGGGATGCGTGCCTAATTGTCTTGATCTGGATAACTATTTAGGATAGCATGTTTTTGTTTAATAAATATGTGGTCGGGCAACGGAAGTTGTTAAGTCCAGATGGTCATCATATGTCATCCAATAATGTCCTTTTGGTAAAGATGGAGGGGCCGGTTTGGTATACCATCTATCATCATCTACCTGTTGTTTTTCAGGGGGTTCTGAAGAGAAACCCTTCTATCTATTCATCAACCAACCAATGGCAAAATTTAAGGGACATCTATTAACCATCCAATGATTTTCCATAGTTATGTTAGTTTACCAGGCCAGGTAAGTCCAGATGGTCATCATATGAATCATATGTCATCATGCACTAACTGAGACAGATTTTGAACAGTGTGTTCTCCGTGTTATCCTATGACATCTTGAACACATGTATATACCCATTTATAGATATTTAGTGGATTTACCCATTAAACATGGTGATTTTCAATAGTTATGTTAGTTTACCAGAGGGTATATATATATACATATATATATATATATGTATGTCTCCATGGATTCTCATCATCTATGGATCGTTTGTCTTCCATGCAGATTCAAAAAGCAGCCAACAAGGAGGCGATTTCCATGTCAATGCTCGCCAGAAAATCATCTTTCAAAGGTTTCACTTATACACATATATATATATATACTGTACATATTAATTATCTTTAAATCAACTTAAGAACCATTCAGTTTATAGAGTTTTATAGTTTATACCAACATCAAATAATTGATTTTTCACATCTTCGTATTCCCCCACCTTTCAGCATCGAAGAGGTCACCACCCCGGTGCAGGCGAAGCCCTCGGCCGCATCCCAGGCGTTCTGGCTGCCCACGCGGATCTCCGTCCTCGGCGAAATCGTTGAGATCCAGGGATCGTTCGGATCGAAACGAATCGAAACAATCCATGGATTCCTCTATGGTTGTTTTGTAAAGGTGGAATGATGTGGAATTTTACCAAAAAAATCTGACTCAAAAATATCGAATGCTTGAAGAATGGGCCAAAAAAAATGGATACATGAAGATACTAGCCATCTTCAAAAGTTGACTGGATGTTACCAATGTAAAAATCTAATTCCTGAAACGGTAACATAAAATCCGATACTTTCAAATACATTGTTTAAATTTCCAATGTTGTATTTTTATGTATTTGTTTTAATGAAAAAAATAGATTTACCATCTGGTTATTTAACATAGCCATGGTATAGATGGCCCATAGAAATAGATGGTTTACCGTTCTTAAAAATGGTGGATCTTTCCAGTTCGCAAACTGTGAATGTCATAACCAGATGGTATCACCTCCATGTTCCTATGGTTTTCCCATGGTTTTCCCAGCTATAAACCTCTATTTTCCGCTATAAACCTCTATTTTCCTAGGGTTTTCCCATGGGTTTTCCCAGCTATAAACCTCTATTTTCCTAGGGTTTTCCCATGGTTTTCCCAGCTATAAACCTCTATTTTCCTAGGGTTTTCCTATGGTTTTCCCAGCTATAAACCTCCATTTTCCTATGGTTTATATAGTCATAACCAGAGGGTATCACCTCCATTTTCCTATGGTTTTCCTATGGTTTCCTATGGAAAGCACCTTTTTTTCTCTCACCTATGACTTAGGAAACCTCCCTCTGACACCTCCCGGGGATTCTGCCAGGCATCGGCAAGATCCGCCGGGCGCGTTCCAGGAAGACGTAGGGCGCGAAGATACACAGTTCCAGGCCCGCCAGGCCCTGTCGTTCCAGCAAATCCCATATTTTTTCACAGGGAACTTCGGGAACACAATATGTGTTAATAATAATGTGTTAATAATAATGTGTTAATAATGGTGTAATAGTGATTAATAGAGATTAATATTGAATGGGATAGAACTGTTAATGTCAACCCTGGATTAATAAACCCCGTTTACGGCTGTTGAATTGGGGGGGTACCATAAAAAAAGTATCAGATGAAATGACTATTGGAGGAGTACCCCCCTAATTAATAAACCATGGTTTAGCAAAATCCGGGGTTGACATTAGATCACAATCGTAATTTAGTGGTGAAATAGTAGTTTTAAAATAGTAATTGGTGATAAGAATTCAACCATTGTCACAATAGATCATATATTTTTTAGTTGAATACAGATTTCTTACCAAAAATATATATGATTTGTCCGCTGGGAATCAAACATGGCAATGGAAAATTCCCCATTTACAGGTGACTTTCCCATTAAAACACCTCCATTTGATGGGTATATTATACATTAGGTTTTTCAATTACTATGCTGGATTTGCCGTGGAGTCACTCGCATATCTTGGCTGCTGAAATATCACAATTGGTAGTTCACCAATGTCTACTGTTTGGTTGGTCAGCCTTCCAGATGTTCTTATAGTTTCGGTTAGCTGATAATGCCCTATGACCACTGGCGTTTGTTTAGTATACTCTTGTCCATCCCCCATTTAACAACAGAAATGCGATTTTGGATGCTTTCTCCCCATTTCGTGAAAATCTCCGAAGGCATTATGAAGCCATCCTATCCCCCCAAAATCAACTAACCCAAAATGGGCTTCCAAAATGAATAATTCTAAGACTCAACAAGTAAACCATCAAAAAAATCTTAAACACTAAACCACCGCTAAACCACCATGAAATTACAGGGGAAATTTTGCCATGATTTCCACATATTCAAAAACCATATCAGGACATTTACCATCAAAATCACCATCAAAACCCATAGATTCTCATTAGATCACCCACAAAAATCGAACCCACAAAAATCGAATCCACAAAGTGGACCATATAGAAAATATGAAAGTCAAATGGGATTATTGTTCCCAATATGGAAAAATCATCCAAATGTTCCAAACCACCAACCAGAAACTATTGACAATGGGCATATATATAGGGCATTTTTTCGGGCATATATCATCTGAATGTCACGTTATTGATAGACTTACTGGTGCCTAGTAGAGAATTTTCGGGAATGATCCATTTCATCACTATTAATAATGATCCCAGCAACCCCCAGCAACCCATCCAGCAACCCTACGTAAAACGCACCAGTAAGTAGAAAATATAACATAAGATCCACCATTCAATAAGATGATTGATATCGCATGTTGTTTGATCATGCCAAGATCATCCCATATATGATATTCAGATGATATTCAGATGATATATGCCATTTTTATGCCATATATCATCTGAATATCTGAGAAAATATGGGTCCAAAACCCCATAAGTTAACCCACACCTTGGTCTCCGCCGACACCGCCGTCGCGATGGAGGACAGCAGCTGATCCACCTGTTCCACGGACTCCAGGCTGCATTTCCTGCAGCCAGGGAAAAGGATGTCAAGCGGCAAAAATGTGGAAATTGAGGTGATTTAAGGTGATTGACTGGGATTTTTTAGATGATTTCAGCCTGATTTGGAGTGCCTTTGATTGATTCAATATGATTTACTATGAATTAATACGATGATTCCATATGAATCGATGAAGATGCAGGTTTCGTACCAAAACATGGTGGCTGGAAGCCAGCATGGTGACAGTTTAAGAATGCTGTCAACAAATGCAGCCAGAGCAGATTGAGATAACGCATTAATTAAAAAAAAAAAACATGGTCGCAGGCTACGAAACAGGAGACGTATGCTTTGATGTTCATCAATCAAATATACAAAGATAAGCACGTCTCATCCTATCTGGTACCTGTTGGCTATATGATTCCACCTGCGGGACGGGACCAAAGACGACTACCTTCACTCAAACCCACATGAATAAGGCGATCCATGAAGCTTAGATCCCTCTGCCCACAGAAAGAACATGCCCTTGGGTCCTGAGGACAAATGTGTGCTACATAAATTTCCCCATTTCAGGGTTCAATTGAATAAAACATTGATGACTCGGGGCAGAAACCATGCATTTTCACAAGTAATCATTGTTGTTTCCATTCTCCTCTTTGTACTGGACTGGTTATGTCAAATTCTGACCCTGCCAAGCCTCCAAATCCTCCAAATCCTCCAAAATTGTATTGTCAAAAGTACGGCTAGAATCATTTTGGAATTCCCCAACTTGTCCGTTCTGCTTTGAAGTTTTGCTGGGTTCAGCATCATGCACAAATAGTTGATTTTTTTGCTGCTTTTGGCGTTCAAAAACTGCAGTGCTACCTGATTTTCGCATTTTCTTTTACTCCCAGATACCCTCTGGTAAACTAACATAACTATGGAAAACCACCAATTTTAGTGGGTAAATCAACTATTTCAATGGTCATTTTCAATAGCTATGTTAAGTTACCAGAGGGTAGGATTTGGCGATCCTCCCGTCATCAGCTCCAGCAGAGGCTCCAATTGGCACCCACGAAGAGCCGCTTTTCCGCCGGCCGCTCCGCCCGCTCCGCCCCGGCCCCGGCGCCCATGGTGCCACTGCACGCAGACGCTGCTGCAGAGTTTCTCCCAAGATGTGGGGATAGGATGGGATAGGCATGTCGTATTCCCCCAAAACATGAAGCTCTATACTATTTATACTATAAACACACATGTTTTACCGGCAGAATCCACTCCAATCATCGACGAAACCAGATGTTTCACGACTTCTGAACCAGATTTTGCTGTCCATCAAGCTTCACTTTCCGAGGTTTCCCCCGGAATCACTGTGATTCACCCCCAACTCGGAAAAACATCGGTCAGTTCTGCTCCTTTGCTCCCTGTGTACATACGTGGAAGATCGTGGAAGTGGATTTGTCAAAAGTCACGGAGTATTTTGCAAGTTCCCAATCTACCCAACCTGGTTCTGTCAGCATAGCTATTGAAAATATGCCTCATTTGTAGTTGATTTTCGCTACAAAATGGTGGATCTTTCCTGAGTTATGTGAACCAGAGGTTTTCCCATGGTTTTCCCAGGGTTTTCCTAGGGTTTTCCCGGCTATAAACCTCCATTTCCCAGTCAGAAAATCACCCCTCCAACTCAGAGACCTCACCTTCGATGTTTTTGCGGGGAGTGACACCTCGGTGCAAGGCTAATGGGATACCCAGCAAAGTCATGGGAGACCTCTGGCAACTAATGGGATATGATTTTTTTATCCTCATTGTATCATGAGATTTCATGGGTATTAAAAAGTATACCCTCTAACAAACACAGCAAGCTGGAAAATCCAACTTGTGGAGGCTCAAAAAGCTGGGAAAATCAGAAAAAAGGGGAGATTTTCCAGCCACGTTTGGTTACCAGATACACCAAAGAGTTGGAACCTGTTCAAATGCGCCCGAAAGGAATTTTGGAGGCTCATCAATAACTCAATGGTCATTTGCATTTGCCGCAACAACTGGTTCAACCTGAAACAGTACCAAAATGGTAAAACATAACATGTTAACATCAGAAATATGCCCGAAATTTTCATTGAAACCGAATGAAACCGATCACGAAGTCAGTTGTGTCCTGAAAGGCATCCTCCACAACTCAAGTTGAGCCACGGAATCAGCTGATAAGCTCGCACCTCGGACGGTGTCAAGCGCCTCGAAATTTGGCCCATCCTAAACTGTCCCAAAAAGGAAATGCGACAAATCTGGGGGATTTTGGGGCGTCCTAAACTGTCCCAAATCCACACACCATTCACAGATGAAGCATCTGCCTGGAAGTGTCACACTGACTGTCTCCAAGAATGCGCGTGAACCGTCTTTTCTGCTCAGGTTAAGACATGGTACAAGCGTACCATTGCATTTCGACAAAAAAATGAATCATTCAAAAACAAGTGAAATCATCCAAATCATCCAAATCATCCAAATCAAATCTGAAAAAAACATCCAATTTGGAATGAAAAGAACAGAGTTCCCCAAAATTCCCCAGAGTTCCCACCTTTGTCAAATCACCGTGCCCCAGATCTCCCCGGGTGCCCCCCACGTCGTCGCGATGCTTGTGGGGATAAGCCGCCCGCCTCTCAGGCCATGCCATGTCCATCACGGTGCCCACCGGTGCCACCCGTTTTTTTCAACAGAAATGGTGGCTTTTCAAAGGTGAAAAACCACGAAAAACCACGAAACACAACGGGATTTGTGGTGAAAAACTGGTTGATATAGAGCTTTTAGGTGGGTAAAATCGCGAAGTTGGTGAACGTGACTCCAATTTCACTGTTGGCTTTATGATACATATGATCGAACCGGTACTCATGGGGATAATATAACCAACGCTCACATCACAGGGGGTCAGAACCTGATGGCGGCCATACTCAACATGTGGAGCATCCAAAGTGGAATCAGAGAGATGCCTGCGCCTGATGTAGCAGGGTTCAAGACTTTGACTGGTTGGTGGTTAAAAACCATCTTGAAAGATGATGGAGTTCGTCAATGGGAAGGATGACATCCCATATATGAAATGGAAAATAATCCAAATGTTCCAAACCACCAACCAGATATCTCATTAACCATTTTTAACCACCAACTAGTTGAATAAGGTTTTCAAAAAGACTTTGATGCTGTCGAGTTCGTGGCCCCTTCTAATCTGATTCTGATGTTTTTTGTTGCGCCCGGTTTCAAAAATACGTCTTGTCACGCCCGAAAAACCTGTCAATCCTTACTGCTTCATCCACCAGTTTTAATCTGGTTGGTGGTTTTAACCATCTTGAAAAATATTAGTCAGTTGGGAAGGACTATCCCATATATCATGGAAAATAAAAAAAATGTTTGAAACCACCAACCAGAGAGGTTCTGATGATATTAATGGAAAAAAATAATAGATATTAATGGTACATTAATATTACCATCTGGTTATGACTAACAGTTTGCCATGGAAAGATCCACCATGCTACTAAGAACGGTAAACCATATATTTCGATTAGGGCCATCGAAAAACCATGGCTATGTAAGAGTCATAACCAGGGGATAGCCATTATTATTAACCACTATTAACCACAAATAACCAGCTTGGGTAATAGCTATTACCCACCAACCAGTGAACCTCCAAGGAGTCACCCAGCAGAAAGGTCTGCCGGCGCCTGAACTCATGACATCAACATACCCGGCCTGGTAAACTGCCAACGAACTGGAAAGATCCACCATTTTTGATGGGAAAACCATGGGAAAACCATGGGAAAATGGTGATTTATATGGAAAGATCCACCATTTTTGATGGGGATTTATCCACAAAAAATCGACTGGGCTATTTTCAAGAGCAAACTGTTGGTAAACAAAGGTTGGGTATCTTGGATTCCAAACCCAAACTGGAGAAAACTACTTTTTGGACTGCGTTACCAACTAATAATGCGATATGAATCAACAATAATTGGATGTGAGTTAGCAAAAATGGGATACATTGAGATACTGACCAAGTACAAATCGACTGCTCAACATGTTTGCGTTCTCCGTGTCACATGGGGACCTTTGCAAACTCCTCAAAATTCCTCATACCCTCTGGTTATGTCAAAATAGCTATTGAAAATGGCCACAGAAATAACTGATTTACCCATTATTTTCCATAGTTATGTTAGTTTACCAGAGGGTAATCTTGCTGGCAAATATCCCCAGTTTTGCTGCTTCAATCGGCTTGTTCATCTATGTTCATCTTGTTCTGTTTCTCTTCCCACCATCTAACCTGTCTAAACCATGCTAAATCCTGTTCAACCCCATTTACCCTCTGGTAAACTAACATAACTATGGAAAATCACCATTTTTTTATGGGAAAACCCACTATAAATGGTCTTTCAATAGCTATGTTAAATTACCAGAGGGTAACCCCAAGTCTTACTGAACATCCACATCTTCCCACCATCGGCGCTACGTGGTCTCGCGCCCAACGGGGCGCCCGCACCCGCCCTCGTAGCGCACGCAGAAACTCTGCCGCGCTAAGACTTCGGAGGAATGGACCTGGCAACGTCAGCAAAAATCCTGGGGAATTGGAGGTTTTAATGGGAAAACCATAGGAAAACCATAGGAAAACCATAGGAAAATAGGGAGGTTTACCATCTGGGAAACATACAAAAAACTATAGAAATCACCATTTTGTAGCTGGGTAAATCCACTATTTCGACTGGGCCATGTTCCAGTTGCTTTTTGTATGTTTACCAGAGGGTATAGGGAGAAAAAAAACAAAAAAAATCGGATGTAAGTGCCAACTTTTGCGGCTTTGATCAGTAAAATTCTTGTTTAGTGCATTAACATTGGGGTTCAAGTTCAAGCAGAACTATGCATGTGGATCGAACGAGGTACAATTTTGCGGATTTGCTCCCAAATGATAGGGGTCTCAATCAGAATTGTTCATCCCCACTAGACCCATATCAAATACCATAAAATGTCAACCTCCATTCATGTCATTCATGGCGAGGTTGGCCATTCATGGCTTGAAAAACGCTCGGATCCGGCTACCACCATCCCTGACACATGACATGGGGGAGCTGTGGCTCAGCGAACTCTCAGTTTGACTATTGCCGGGTGGAAAGATTACCCGGCCTGGTAAACTTTTACATAACTATGGAAAGATCCACCATGTTCAATCGGTAAATCCACTATGTCTATGGCCATTTTCAATAGCTATTTTGACATAACCAGGTTGGGTAAATTCCTTTACCTAAAAATGTTTGCCACAAATCCCAGGTGCTGATCTTGGACCTTTTTTCGTAAATCTGTTCGAATGTAAGCGACTTTGCCAGTTGATCCCCCAGGATTCAGAGATGTTCGAATTGCCGGATTTTTTGAGCAACAAATTCAACTAAAATACTGACGTATGCAACATAGGGATATAGTTGTATATTAAATGTATATATATCTATATATATATATTAATTCCATATACATGGCATCAAGCAACAAATTCATCTGCTCAGATGCTTCCAGTGTTGGACTTTTAGCCACAGCCACAACCAGAATCTCCAGCCAAGTTAAAACACGCCACATGATTTACCTATTAAAGATGGTGGATCTTTCCATGGCAAACTGTTAGTTTACCAGAGGGTACTGAAGAATCTGAAGACTACCAATGGATTTTCAACAGAAAAACGAGTCTTCAATCTTTGGACCCCCTTTCTCCGAGGCTCCCGACCGTCTCCACCTCCGACTTGCGCGCATGGACCTGGGCGCCGAGCGCTGCGATCCTTTTTCGCTGGTAGCGACTGTGGTAAACCCATGAACCAAAGATTGGGGTGAAAATGGCAGGTATATAAAATGGTACCCTAGTAAGGGATGATGTAAAATGCACCTATAAATTCATGGGATGGTTTGTTTTGCATTGCGGAGATCATCAGATGTACACGCGACCCCTGCAGCTGGCTGGGCTCTGGATAAATTCTACTGCGCAAATTGGATGAAAAAAAATCAACCAGGCTGGATGTAAACCATCAGGTTGCATTTCACCTCACAAAATCTGATGAAGACTTGAGAAAAAATCGCAGGTTCCACCGCTTTTCCTGGTGCTTCTTTCGGCGCCGTGCCATTGCCGTTTTGTTGAACCGAATGGTTTCAGTCGGGTGACTCTTGAGAACCATCCAGAACTGCATCAATAAAACGCGAATTGGTTTCTTAGCCAAGATGGACTTGGTGTCAGAATCTTTTGAAGGGGGTATTCAAGATTTACAAACAACAAACACACACCACAACCCCTATCTGCCTGGCAAGCAGAATAAATGCAAATGCTGCCCATCATATCTCAATATAACTCTCTCGCACATAGTATTGGATGCCATCTAACTCCCATCATTTCTGCTCCATGTTTTTGAACGAGATCAGATGGCGAGGCCAAGCACCCTCCGGCGCCACCAGGGTTCCGAACCACCAGGCCTGGCAGTAAAATCGCTGCGCTGATCCCACCAGAAAAAAAAAAAAACAACCTTTGAAGAGTTGGTTCATGGCTGCTTCCCAAAAAGCTGGGAAAACAAGACCCAAAACGGTTGATTCCCAACACCAGCGGTGAAAGAACATTCTCAAGCGTCCCATTTGAATCTCCAATTTTTGGAGTTTGTCAATGCTTCGCGGAACATGTTGGAAAAGTTTGGAAACACAACTCCGTTCTGCCCCAAGGACGGCAACAGGAGACCTATCATCAAATCTGAATGCATAAACGCATCTGCACGGAGCAAATATGAGTCATATGAGCAAATCATGTTTTGGTGAAAATGTTCCTTTGTGCTCACAAAAAGGGTCGCAAAAACAAGGGAATGGAAGTTTTGACGACTTATCAACAGACATCTTCCACGGGAGGCTGATTCAACATGATTCACTTACTGGTGCTTAGTAGGGAATGGATGGGAATGGGGGAATGGGATGATTATTAATTACTAGTGATTATGAATCATTCCCTCATTCCTGCGTTTGGCACCAGTAAGTTCAACATCAATGTTTCTTCAGTTGGTTATGGGTCAAAATTGGGTACCTCAATAATTGGATGGTGAATGCTAAAAATAGACTTAAATCTGTGGTCCCCCAGGTCTCCAATTTTGACCCATAGCGAGTTGATCCTGAATCGATCACGGTTTCGGTTTCTTAAAGGGTCAACGATGGGATCCCAAGCCACGCCTTCCGACCCATGCTCCGCGTCGGCGCCGAACTGCACGTGACGTGCCATGGCGCAGTTGAAACAACGCGGCCCGAGGCGATCAACGCGCCACGCTGTGGTTTTGGGAAGGTGCCATTGGAGCACTGAAATCGGCGTAAGCTACCCTCTGGTAATGTCAAAATAGCTATTGAAAATGGCCATTGAAATAGTGGATTTTCCCATTAAGAATGGTGATTTTCCATAGTTATGTTAGTTTACCAGAGGGTACCGTAGGACATCTGAAGATTCAAAATATGGTCGTTGTATTTGATTCGCTGACTTTCTCTGTGCGCGCGTACCTAGTGCAATTATCCACCTGTACTCGTTCGAAATGAGTCGGACATTTTGGGATAAGAAATATATTTTGAAAACACATTGGTTTCAAAGTCCTCCTCTCACAACACTCACACATTTGTTTTGCGAATGGAAAAATATTGTATATGGAACCACAAATTCGGTGAAAATATCCCATGTGGGCGATAATTGACCATAAATATATATATATATACTATATATATTTCAAAATAGCACGCGCTTCAAATTCCCACACTTCGGTAGTTGCAAGGTTGAAGCTCTGCGTCACCCTCAACAGGCATGGAAGATGGCTGCAAGCGACCACGGTCAACCTCAACGGGCTGGTGGTTTTCTATGGTTTTCCCACCCTCCAACTGGCCCAAACCCACAACACGCACTGGTCATATGAGGTTTTATACTGGTTCGAAGGATTGTTTCAAAAGTTGAAAATGTCTGTTTTTTTCACCAATCATTCAAATTAATGTTACCCATCTTGCCAATCACATTCGATCCTACTGGTACTCTCTCGGACGTCGTCGAGAGATGTCACGCACGCGCGGGAGACCGGTGCACCCCCCGACAAGTGTTTCGTTACTGATAAGTACTAGTAATGTCAACCCTGGATTAATAAACCCCGTTTACGGCTGTTTAATTGGGAGGGTACCATAAAAAAGTATCAGATAATGACTATTGGAGGAGTACCCCCCCTAAATAAACCATGGTTTAGCAAAATCCGGGCTTGACATTAATCACGATTCTTTTCCCAAAATCAACTTCAAACTTCACCATGAAAAAACACACCAACCCGAAAAACGCACCGTTTCTGCTGGGCGCATCTCAGCGGGGACCAACAGTTGGTGACATGACTTGATCACTGCGGCCGAGTTGTCCGGTGCCCGGTCGAAAACGAGACATCTCTTTTTAAGTGATTTGTCTTATGGACAGTATCATCTATATCATGTATGTATGTATAAATATATATATAATGATATTTTGTGTATATATATATATTAATATATATATATAATACTACTGTAGGTATGTTACGCGATCCTGATGCCTAGATTCGATGTCATGTTCTTCATTTGCTCAACCTTTGAGTTCACCCCTGTACACATGACGCATGGCCCCGACAGCCAATGATCGTTCGACCCATGGCTGCCGAGATCGCATCACGAGTCGAAGCTTTGCAGCCCAACGTTTTAGCCGGGATCCATCGACATCGTTGGATGCGTCAGGGGCATTCGACATCATTCGACCCAAAAATCCGCCCCGTTTTTGACCGTGGCACCTGGACGTCAAAATTTGCAAAATCCAAAATCGCTGGGTCGGCACATCACTGCGCCAGCCCCGCGCACGCCACGGGTTGAAAATGGCCCGCATTGGGCCACCCCGTGGTCCGCGGTGCGGCCAAGCTGCCGCTGGGCCGGCGCGTGTTGAGAACTGATGGCCGAAACCTTCGGGGTTTTGGTACGTTTTGGTCCCCGAAGCCCCCAAAAAAAAGCGCCAGAGAAAATCTCCGAAGAGATGCCTGGTGCATCACTGGTGCTGTTTCGATCTTCGTGTCCAAACAGCAAGCCGCACAACCTCACGTTGGAGACTCGTTCCCGCAAGGCCCCAAGCAGAAGGAAAGGGCAATTTTCAACGGGGATGCCTGCCTATTTAGCACTGCCAGGAAACCCTTTTTTTTACATCTTTTTACCGTTAAAAATCATTGTGGTTTCATGTCAAACGTTTCATCTGGGAACAAGGGAATTCTTTCAGATGGCTATGGGTCAAAACCCTGCTTCTGTTCGCAGCTAAGACAGCTGCTGGATCTTCCCCCCAGCACACTGGTGTCTCTTACTTCACTTATAAAGATAGGTGTTTCTAAAAGGGGCAAATCTCTACTGCAGGGGGAGCAATCACCAAAGAGTTTATTGGACTATTGGCCATACTTGAGGTGACCTCGTGTCGTCTTTCTCGGGAGTCATCCCAAAATCGCCAAACTTGAGGCCCCAGGCAAATGAATTTCAATATCCACTTGGTGGGATACCTTCTGTACGGTTTTCCACGAGACACCTGCGGCAGGAAAGAGGAAGGGCGATGACTCTCTGCCCTCTGAATTGAAGAAAACCCGTTTTTTCGATAAAGGACCCAACAGTTGGAACCTGTAAAAACAACCGCAAGTCGTTGTGGATCACCCTGGAACCCGGCAGCGAAAATATCTGTAGCTGGATGTCATCCTCCTGCATCCCTATCCTTGATGTTACATCCCTGTGTTTGTGCTTAAATTCCTACGTTCAATGGTTTTACCCGTTGTCGTCTAGCTATAGAATCCTTTGACCCCCACTAATATTCCCAGCGTATATTCATTCTAGCCTCATTGTATCCTAATAAAATGGAGGAGTATTTCACCTTTGTCTCATCAATATTCCCATTACGCCCATTGCATATTCCCATTCTATATATTCCCACTATTTCCCCATTACCCTCTGGTAAACTAACAGTTTGCTATGGAAAATGGGTAATTGATAGTTGATTGACCTATTGACCTATTAATAGCATGGTGATTTTCCATAGCTATGTTAAATGACCAGAGGGTAAACCTCCATTTTCCTATGGTTTTCCTATGGTTTTCCTATGGAAACCACCATATCTCCTGGACTTCTTCAAAACTGTTTTCGGATCCAGGACGAAAAATCATCCGCAGGGCCAGCTCCACAGGACCCCGCCTCGTGTTTTTAATTTTCGTCGAGCAAAAACTGCGCCTGGATTCGCGTTGCAGCGAAACGAACCCTGGAAGAACTCATCAAACAGATTAAAAAATGAGCTACAACAGATACAACAGAAAATGAGTTGAACTCCAAAAAAGAAGCAATTCTCTGAAGAAAAAAAACGGAAAAAAGTGCCATGGCTTTTCATACCAGAAAGGCAGCCTTTTTGGCGTTCCAGAAAACAGCCACAGCGGCCTGAGACCCTTCAGGGTCGTAGGGTGGCAGCTCTTCGACGGGACCTGCAAAAAATTCACGGCGGCGCTGGCAGATCTCCGGTGATTTCTCCTCATCCACTGGAAATGATGATGACATGGGGATGGGTCAAAACCCTGGTACCTAGTGAACCCCAAAATAGCTGGGATTTGTGGATGTTCATCCCACTAAAAATGGATCTATAGGTATTGACCCATACCCACATAGATATCAATGCAAAAGAAAGGTGCAACTGGTTCACAATGTTCACATCCAGAATGACAAGCGGTAAACCGTAAACCCATGAAAAAAGGCTGAGAACAAATGATTTTGATCTTGACGGCTGAGAAAGGCCTCAACCCTTCTAGTTGCAGTTCTTAAATCTTAGAAAAAATACGGAAAAAAAAACAAATGTCTACAAAGCATCCAAAAAAAAACGATCATCTACAAAAGCGGTACCCGGTACCCCCACCACCAGCATACCACCATCCCAACGACTGCCCGAGTTGCTCGGTGGTTGCTTCACCGCCGTGTCCATAAAGTTGAAACCTCGCATCCTGGACGTGGATGATGTGGACGACGTTGAGCACCCAGCAAGGGACGTGGATTTTCAGCATTTAAGATGACCCAAGAAATGGGGGGCATGCGGCATGCATATCTTGATGATCATCATGGGCCGATTCCATATATATCATATATTCTTAATCCCAACAAGCTCCATGATATTCCACAAATGGCTATTTCGAGTTCCATAATGTTCCATATACCCGAAATGGTAAACATACAAAAAAACGAACTGGGAAGATCCACCAGTTCGCTTGTAGCTGGGTAAATCAACTACGACTCAGCCATGCCTCCCCATCTGGTCCCAGGTCCCACGGTCCGACCGGCCTCGTGTTCGGAGCCCGTCAAGGTCTTCAGCACCTTCTTGGCCGCCTGGTGCCCGTGCCGCGTGGTGCCCATCTTGCGGAGCAAGCCGGGCCTAGGGATGGTGCAATGCTTCGGTGCCGAATCCCAACATTACCCAACCTGGTTATGGAAAAACAGTTTGCGAACTGGAAAATGGTCATAGAAATAGTTGATGTACCTATAAATGGTGTTTTTCCACAGCTATGTAACAAATTACCAGAGGCTATTCATAAATATCCCGGATCAAAAAAAACACAAACTTCATGTCCTGTTCCAAAACGCTACGGAGACACCCGCAAAAGAAGTCCCTATGTCTTTGGGCCTTCCCACCAAAATTGATACAAATGAGATTGGCCAAAATCTGTGCTCGGGCTTACATGTTGACCCGCACCCGTACCAATCCTTGTACATCAAATACATTCAGATACATCTTGTGCATCAACAGCCCCTGAAGAGCTGTTTTAAAAATATCAAAAAGTAACTATCCACCCATGAACCCCGAACCCCTCAGCTAAGTGACACTCGCAAAAGCGACCGAGCCAACTGCACCTGCGGGCGGACACACCTTCATCAGGGCTTTGGATTAAAAGTATTTCTCCTTTTGGAGGCAAGGTTTTTCAATATCCCATACATGGATGATGGGATTCTTTGAGTGTTGGGAGCAGGCCCTTAGGCCCAACAGGTTTCATGACTTTGTGAAAAAAATCAGCTTTCCAGCTGTTCAAAGGCAAGACGGAACAAAAACCCAGCCACGCCTTTTCTTCGCGTTGGGCCACCGACATGATCTTCACCATCACCGCCGACACGTAGACGTTGTCACTCTCATTGCCTATGAAACTGACCCACGGTGCCCAAAAAACCAAGCACTCTCTGCGAAATGCGCGAAACAAACCAAACTGTGTGTAGAACACCAGTGAACACCAGCAGCAACACCTTCAGGTTCGACTTTCACCCTGAAATTCATGGATTCATGTTTTTTTCAAAGCCACCACAACCACAGGACTCCGTATGGATCCGTATGGATCCGTGATCCGGATGGCACTAAGCAGCACACCCACCAAAGTCACATTGTCCATCAAGGACTGAAGCAAACGGCGGCGCTGCTCGCGAGTGCCTCAGAGCAAGGTCCATCATCACTGGGAACTGCCTGGGCCATCCTGGGCCATCCTGGGCCCATCACTTTGGTCCAGCAGGTTCTGAATGACCTCGGAACGGAAACATGGAAACATCACCAGGAACAAAACTCGAAAAACCATGAAAAAAAATGTTTTTCAGGCCTGCAGTGAAGCTTACAATCTATACCTTACTGCCATAAGCTCTATATAAACTGCCAAAACATCTACAGCAACACCGCCCAAACACCACCGCCCAACCAGCAGTCTCCGGACGTAGTTGCCGTAGGGATGGGCGCAGATGTTGATGGCGTCTTCCAGCAGGCAATCGATGAGGTCCCTGACCTGCGCAGGCGCCATGGCGGTCATGGGGTCGCAGGCAATGGCCACAGATGACCAAAACAAGGGGAGAAAAATGGGAAAAATACGTAGGGTGAAGTGGGAAAATTGTTGGGTTTCATTCTGTTCTCGATCTGGTTTTTCATTGTGTTGAAATATCGTACAAGTATGTACAAGTCAAAAAACCTAGTCATGTAGTCATCCACGATGTTCAAGTGAACTCGTCAAAAATCTCACCCAGTATGAGAACAGTTGGTACCTCGATTGACCTGTATTTTCAATGCATTGAAAAACCACCATCAACGCTTTTAACAAGAGAGGCTGGAAAATTCAAAACCTCTATTTTTCGGGCTACATTTTTTTCGTGGCACCCTTTAAAAAACTTCCACGGAGGTAAACGCCGATCCCGAGCAGTTCGGGTCATCTCAAAGGAACTTCCCATCGAAGTCCCAAAAAACGAAGGTCCCTTTACCAGTTGTGGCCAGAAATACCAGTTATAACTACTAAGAAGTCACCCCATTTATAGAATGTATTTCATCCCAGTGAAATAACCAGTTATAACTCATAAATAGTCATCACTGTAAGGTGTCAGGGAAAAAAAATCACGAAACCTCCCAACAGTTTGATGACTGACAAAATCTCTGGAAACGGCGCCTGATCTTGAGGTCCACATTCCAGGAGTCGCTGGATGATGCGGCAGCCATACCTGGGCTTGTCGCCAGAAGATGAGTTTGATATCCAATGCCCGTAGTCTTTCAATGGCTATTCAGTCTTACCATGCCTTGATGATGATCAAGTACATCAAGTTGGATATTATATTAAAAGCCAATATCATTTTTTCTATGCATGTTCCGTGCTGCATTTGTAAATTAGTGAATCTGATAGTAAATCCATTATGATTCCATTATCATCATAAATCCATTATGATAGATATCATGATATCCACCAATATAATGGAATAATCATGATGGTTTATGATAATTCCACTTATATCATTCTCAACCCGATCGGCGAACCCTGCTTGTGAATAACTTGGGGCTACACCCCAAGAGTTCGTGATCTGCTGCTAGAGCCTAGAATATTTTCACCCCGCAAGAATAAACAGCCCAGGGGGTTCTTTCTCCTACATATTTGATACATCATGATACATCTATACCTGAATGATATATCATTTGGGGCTTTCCTAAGTCATGTACCCCAAAATCATCCAAAATTAGAATGATCAATATATATCAAGCAATATCAAGCAGGGAGAAGCAATGCTTTTGGGGCCATTCCCATGACTTTCCAAATGGAAACCTCCACTGCTCGTGACCTCCGTGACGTCGGCGCACTTGTGTCGTGCAGCTTGCTGAATCATCTCGGGTCCTCACCGGAAACCGCTCGACCCGTGACACGAACTGAGCCCTGGGCTGGACCTCCTCTGGTGTTTTTTCGAATGAAAATTCAATGGGAAAATATATATATATATTTATGTATATATATATAATAAGCTGGGTTTTTTATATATACCTAAATGATCTTCAAATTTCGAATGGAAACTCAATATATAAAATAACTCCCTAAATGATCTTCAAATGGAACCTAAGCTGGGCAAATCTGGGTTCCCCTGAAGCTCCGAAGCGCAGAAACGGTTTTCAAGGTAAGAATGGAGAAGAACCTTGATGGAAGACCACCCAAGACTGCCGTGGCTTCACTTGCATCGAAATCTGCGGCTGATCCTTGATGTTTTTTGCTGATACAAATCTTTCAACAGATCCTCTTATCAGATCCTCTATTTCTTTTGCGATTGATGTCTTCCGAAAAACAGTCATCGCCAAAGATCCCTCTCCACAGCAGCAAGAAAACCAAAAACACAAGTGACCCGCCTTTTTGTTTCAGTTCTTGAAAGATGAAGTTCAAATTCTCCCTGGAAAGGACCTGTCCATGGCGGGCTGTGGTTTGGTCAAAATGTAAGAACCCAACAAACCCTGTATCTTGGAGGTTTTTGGACCGCGTTACTAGCCCTGAGAGGGTTTGCACATCTGATTTTTTGGTCGGAAATGGTTGTTTTTGGAAAAAATAAACAGTTGGCAGTGTGTCAAAACCTTGTACCCCTTCTGTTCACATCAAAATAGCTGGGATTTATGGATGGTCATTCCCCTAAAAATGGTATAAAAATAGGTCTTGATCCATACCCAGTTGATTCACAGGGCTTTGGCTAGAGCCACCATGACAAATTACACCCTTCTAAATGCCCATGCCACGGCACCGTGACGCACTTCTGCAGCACGTAGTTGGCAAAGGGACACCGCAAGGCTTCCCAAACGTGACCTGAAGTCATGGCAGTCGCTGGGTGTCACCATGGGGGTTCTCTGAAAAAGATGTGGAAATTGATGGCATAATCCGGGAAAAATGTACCCTCTAGTAAACTAACATAACTATGGAAAATCACCATTTTTAATTGGTAAATCAACTATATTAATGACAATTTTCAATAGCTTTTTGTATGTTTACCAGAGGGTAGCATGGAGAAATTCGGTACTCCGGGGGAAAAAAAAACTTTTGAGTCGCCGTGTCGGACGTTGCGCCCATTTCTTGACAAATCCATTCACAGTTGTCGCGTGCTGGTGCAATGCTTTCTTTTCATAACCAACCAGCGCAAAGAGAAAAACATGTGAAGCGTACCCCAGGGAGACCCTGCATGGAAAACATGAGTTGTCCACCGTCTTTTGTAGAGGTTTCGTGCACGTTTTATCTGACAATCATTGGCTGTTCATAGACCAAGAAATCAGCACAAGAAAAACAACGCACACCCATCATCTGCTGCGACATTGTACTCATTATCTTTTCAGCAATCCCACGGGTATCCCCCCTATCAGACAGGCCCATATATCACATTGTTACTTGGTTATGTATATATATAATCATCTTGGAGTATATAGAATATGGAATTCCAAAAATTACCTCAATAGAATCAGATAAAAGGATAAATTATTTTGAAAACCCCATATTCATCTAGTTGACGATTTCATCTATAATTGTATAGCAATATTAGTAATGGATTCATCATTTCCTGATCTATTCATCGTGTAGTAATGGTTATCATTTACTTCCTCATTCCCCAATCATCATCATCATCTGCAGCGCCTCGCAGCTCCGATGCCAGAGCTAAACGCCTCAGCAGTGAGGAGAGGTGGTAACTTGCTGACACAAACGCTGTTTAAGAAACAAATGATAAATTGATTCCGTATGTTAGATGTAGTTGGAATATGTTGGAATATTTTTTCCACATCTAAATTGCCATTAAAACTGGTATAATTATGTGTATATATATATATACATGTATATATGATTATGATTATATTGTCTTATAAAAAACATGGAGCTCGCATAATTTTTCAGAGGATGAGAGGTCTTGAAAGCTATGAGAAAATGTGATGTACAGATTTAATGTATTTTAATGTGATGTACAGAAAATGTGAATGTGCATGAAGTTTTGCTCTATAAATATGTAACTGTGATTCTGATAAATTATGTATATAATGTGAAGGTACATAATCTACAAGTACTGATCTTTCTGTCCTTTGCCTTGTGGCTGCTTGCCTTGGTGCTCTGCTGCCTTTGGCCCGAGTTGAACCCCAAGGGCCCCCAAGGCAGGCCACAGGCCAAAGCCAAGATGTTCCTTCAAGCTTGGAAGCCTCCCCCAAAAGGAATTTTAAGGGATTTCAAGGAATTTGAAGGAAATTACACAGAAGGGTTTTGACACAGATGCCATAGTTAGAAAAGCGTTTACACAGAAGAGCTTTTACACGGAAAAGCTTTTACACAGAAGAGTTTTTACACAGAAGAGCTTTTACACGGAAAAGCTTTTACACAGAAGAGTTTTTACACAGAAGAGCTTTTACACAGAAGAGCTTTTACACAGAAGGGCTTTACACAGAAGAGCTTTTACACGGAAGAGCTTTTACACAGAAGAGTTTTTACACAGAAGAGCTTTTACACAGAAGAGTTTTTACACAGAAGGGCTTTACACAGAAGAGCTTTTACACGGAAGAGCTTTTACGCAGAAGAGTTTTAGAAGAGCTTTTACACAGAAGAGCTTATACATACAAGAGCCTATACACAGAAGAGCTTTTACACAGAAGAGCTTTTACACAGAAGACCTTTTACACAGAAAAGCTTTTACACAGAAGGGCTTATACACAGAAGAGCTTTTACACAGAAGAACTTCTACACAGAAGGGCTTTTACACAGAAGGGCTTTTACGCAGAAGGGCTTTTACACAAAAGAGTTTTTTACACAGAAGAGTTTTTACACAGAAGAGTTTTTACACAGAAGAGTTTTTACACAGAAGAGTTTTTACACGGAAGAGCTTTTACACAGAAGAGCTTTTACACAGAAGAGTTTTTACAGGGAAGAGCTTTTACACAGAAGAGTTTTTACACAGAAGAGTTTTTACAGGGAAGAGCTTTTACACAGAAGAGTTTTTACACAGAAGAGTTTTTACACGGAAGAGCGTTTTACACAGAAGAGCTTATACACAGAAGGGCTTTTACACAGAAGAGCTTATACACAGAAGGGCTTTTACACAGAAGAGCTTTGACACAGAAGAGCTTTTACACAGAAGAGTTTTTACACAGAAGAGCTTTTACACAGAAGAGCTTTTACACAGAAGAGCTTTTACACAGAAGAGCTTTGTGACAGAAGAGCTTCTACACAGAAGAGCTTCTACACAGAAGAGCTTTTACGCAGAAGAGTTTTTACACAGAAGAGCTGTTACACAGAAGAGCTTTTACACAGAAGAGAAGAGTTTTTACACAGAAGAGCTTTTACACAGAAGAGTTTTTACACAGAAGAGCTCTGTGACAGAAGGGCTTTGTCACAGAAGAGCTTTTACACAGAAGAGCTTTTACACGGAAGAGCTTTACACAGAAGAGCTTTTACACAGAAGAGTTTTTACACAGAAGAGCTTTTACACAGAAGAGTTTTTACACAGAAGAGCTCTGTGACAGAAGGGTTTTGTCACAGAAGAGCTTTTACACAGAAGAGCTTTTACACGGAAGAGCTTTACACAGAAGAGCTTTTACAGAAGAGTTTTTACACAGAAGAGCTTTTACACAGAAGAGCTTTTACACAAAAGAGCTTTTACACAGAAGAGTTTTTACACAGAACGGCTCTTACACAGAAGAGCTTTTACACAGAAGAGCTTATAAATACAAGAGCTTATACACAGAAGAGCTTTCTGACAGAAGAGCTTTTACACAGAAGAGCTTTGACACAGAAGAGCTTTTACACAGAAGAGCTTTTACACAGAAGGGCTTTTACGCAAAAGAGCTTTTACACACAGGAGATAATACGCAGAAGGGCTTTTACACAGAAGATCTTTTACACAGAAGAGCTTTTACACAGAAGAGCTTTTACATAGAAGAGCTTAAACACAGAAGGGCTTTTACACAGAAGAGCTTTGTGACAGAAGAGCTTTGTGACAGAAGAGCTTTTACACAGAAGGGCTTTGACACAGAAGAGCTTTTACACAGAAGAGCTTTGTGACAGAAGGGATTTTACCCAAAAGAGCTTTTACACAGAAGAGTTTATACACAGAAGAGCTTATACACAGAACAGCTTTTAGGTAGAAAGGCTTTTACACAAAAGGGCTTTTACACAGAAGAGTTTATACACAGAAGGGCTATTACACAGAAGAGCTTTGTACACAAAAGAGCTTATACACAGAAGAGCTTTTACACAGAAGAGCTTTTGCACAGAAGGGTTTTTACACAGAAGGGCTTTTACACAGAAGAGCTTATACACAGAAGAGCTTTTACACAGAAGAGCGTTTTACACAGAAGAGCTTATACACAGAAGGGCTTTTACACAGAAGAGCTTATACACAGAAGGGCTTTTACACAGAAGAGCTTTGACACAGAAGAGCTTTTACACAGAAGAGTTTTTACACAGAAGAGCTTTTACACAGAAGAGCTTTTACACAGAAGAGCTTTTACACAGAAGAGCTTTGTGACAGAAGAGCTTTCTGACAGAAGAGCTTTTACACAGAAGAGCTTTGACACAGAAGAGCTTTTACACAGAAGAGCTTTTTTCTGTGTTTTTACACAGAAGAGCTTTTTCACAGAAGAGCTTTTTCATAGAAGAGCTTATACACAGAAGGGTTTTTACACAGAAGAGCTTTCTGACAGAAGAGCTTTCTGACAGAAGAGCTTTTTCACAGAAGAGCTTTTACATAGAAGAGCCTATACACAGAAGGGCTTTTACACAGAAAAACCTTTAACACAGAAGAGCTTATACACGGAAGAGCCTTTACACAGAAGGGCTTTTACACAGAAGGGCTTTTACACAGAAGAGCTTATACACAGAAGGGCTTTTACACAGAAGAGGCTTTTACACAGAAGAGCTTATACACAGAAGGGCTTTTACACAGAAGAGCTTATACACAGAAGGGTTTCTACACAGAAGATCTTTTACACAAAAGAGCTTTTACACAGAAGAGCTCTTACATAGAAGAGCTTATACACAGAAGGGCTTTTACACAGAAGAGCTTTGTGACAGAAGAGCTTTCTGACAGAAGAGCTTTTACACAGAAGAGCTTTGACACAGAAGAGCTTTTACACAGAAGAGCGTTTACAGAGAAGAGCTTTGTGACAGAAGGGCTTTTACACAGAAGAGCTTTTATGCAGAAGGGCTTATTATACACAGAAGAGCTTATACAGAGAAGGTCTTTTACAAAGAGAGCTTATACATAGAAGAGCTTTTACACAGACCCAAGGCCCCAAAACAGGCCAGAGCAAGACAGAGCCAACAAACACCCGCCTCTTACAGTGTAATTGTGAATTGTGTTGACTTATGTAATTGTAATTTATGATGAATTATATTTCACGTGCGTGTGTGTGTGTGTGCGTCAACACACTCATGGGCAGCAATCCGTATATTTGTTTGTCACCGATACAGAAGTGTGGACATATGTTTCCAGACCATGATCACCTTTTCAAGACCAGCATTTCAGGTGATGTATCCAACCCCATCAAAAACTGGAATAATATACCCTTCAAAAATCCACTTGCATTCATTTTCATGGGTCAAGCCCATGAGCAACCTATGTCCAATCCTACCGTAATCCCATGCTGCGTCCGTCATATAACCCAAGCTTCACATAGAATCCAGCGTCTCGGTTTACAAAAGAAAACTCAAGCCCCATGTAACCACAAAAACTCGTGGTTGTCACCAAATCATCCACATATTTGTCTGGTTGCCCAGGTTACCATATCACATCATATCACCTATGTTTGGCCAGCTTATACACAAACAGCATATGTTATATGGTACAACACCAGTAGAAGCCAATACACAAACATTATATAAACAAAATGTCATTAATAACAAACATGATTGTCATAATAACCATGTTTAATTAAATATACCAAACACGATTAATTGTGATATAACAAACATCATATGTCACTGGCTAAAAGTTCCATCGGTGGCTGGACATCTCGTTGGGCGCCAAAGGGCTCTTCCTGGTCCGCCTCATCAAAGGCCCTCTGCACCTGGTCCATGGTGATTAAAAAAAACTCGATTTAAAATGACAAGAAAAATCCTACTTTTAAAAAAGACCCTACTGTAGAATATATATTTAACATTAATTTTAATATTAATTTAACCCATAGTCATCATAGATTTAAGATATTCAGTCGCCTACATCTGTATATCGTCAGTTAAAATCGATCATGGTTAAATCCGAAAATCACTACACTGAAACAGTTAGGAAAATCTGTCAAATTTGATTCTGAAGCAAACCCATATTTTCAACAAAAAGTCATGTTTAAGTCACCAAAAAAAATCACCCAAAAATCCCAAACCTTGGATGGTGAACAAATGTGATTCAAAGAACAAATGCCCATGGTTTCTGTTTCAATCACCTACAATAATTATATGTCCATGTGTTGATGACTGAAAAACATGTCAAATGATCACATCAATATATCATTCCCATATCTTTTGATGGTTTTTCAACATGTTATCAGATAGATTTCCCATGTTAACTCCCTATCGTTTGATGAAAAAAATTGGGGTTTCATAGATTTATCAGATATATTCCACCATGATAACTCCCATGTTATCAGATAGATTTCCCATCAAATGGTGGTTCCCATGTTTCATGGTGGAAACTCACTCGATCCCCAGATGCTGGGAATCGCTGTGCCAGGCCTCGCGACAGCCCTTGCTGTCGCGCGACAAGGTCCACACGCGCTGCGACCTGGGAATGTCAACCGAGAAATGGTGGAAAACTTATGAAATGCGAATATAATTGATGTTATATTCACATGTCATCAACAACTTATGAAAAACATGTGAATATAACATCAATGTTACACAAACATCATATGTTTTTGGTCCAAAAACAGAGAATATGTGGAGGTAAAACACAGAGCCCGTTTGATATGCCGAGAAATTCATGTGGACCCACGAATTCACTACAATCACAAAAAACCCACTTCAATCATGACTAATGTGGGATTCACCCAATACCATCAACAACTAATGATGGTCAATGATGGTTAATGATGATTAATATTGATTAATGATGGTTGAATTCCCATTTTGGGGATGATAAAAAAGATAGACATTGGGGATTCCCACCACATGACCCATAAAAACTGAGCGATTCCCACCACCATGATCCTTGAGATCGAAGGCAGGACCCCTGGCGCAAAGGTATTGAGGCAGACTCACCACGGTGGATGCAGGGATGAAACCACAGATTCGGAACCATAGAATAGGAGTGTGTGAAATATTGGGGGGAAGGGTTAGTGGACTCCTCTCCAAAAAAACGCGATTTTTTTTCGCAAACCCTGCGAAAAAAAAGAAAACTGATAAACAACCGATTCGATTGTTTTGTCCCAGTGTGAGGGATACCATCTGGTTATGACTAACATAGCCATGGTATAGATGGCCCATAGAAATAGATGGTTTACCGTTCTTAATAGCATGGTGGATCTTTCCACGGCAAACTGTGAATGTCATTTCACCAGAGGGATATCTCCAATTTATGGCGTCAGGGGCCTTCACATGGGGTTTGCACGAATCATTTCCCAGCCATTTCCCAGGCATTTCCCGGCCTTCTCTTTCATGATGGTCTCGAAGGCTATGCCTGGCTGCTCCGCCATTTTTGTTTTGAGCCATCCCCTAATGGGTCTTCAGGGTCTATCCAGGCAGCAGCATCTCTAGATTTGGTTAATGATGGTTAATGATGGTTAATGATAGTTAATAGTGGTTAATCCAATATGGATCAATATGGTATATGGATTTGATCCCCAACATGAGGAGCCTTTCCTTTACCTGAAACCATGCTCCACTAGTCCCACTTGTAACTTCTCCCACTGCCCCATATCTACAATCTTTGCCGAAGGCATCTCTGTTGGTTTGCAGAGGCAACACTTGTGTGGTTCAACCTATTTCTCAGCTGATGTTGCTTCAAACATCAATGACCACTTTTTTTTTCACCATTTCATAACCACCAATAACCACCAATAACCATCAATATCAATAAGTCAATAAGCATTAACCATCATTAACCTAACCAGAAACCAAAAAAACCCTTCCCCAGCTACTCACAACGACACATCTTGGACCCCCTGCCGAAGCTATGGCACGGCCCGGGGGAGCCGTGGGAACCACGCTCGAGCCGCGAGGCGCCGCAGATCTCAGCGTGGCTGAGGGGTGGCCCGTCATGAACCAATGGTTTTTCTATTGGTTGAATGGGATTTTTCAGATGGGAATGAACTCAGGAAATCAATGAGATTGGAATGTTTCAGAAGGGAATGATTGGAATGATTGGAATGATTGGAATGATTGGAATGATTGGAATGGACTTATTTTTCAGATGGGTGACATCAAAACCATGGCTTTTCATGTTTAACGATTCTGATTTTTAAGCACTAAAAACGTAAGAGTTTGACCATGGGGAAATCAGTTGGCTTATCCACCCCACTGGCTGCTTACCGTGTGCGGCACTTTCGAAATGATGTCAGATGATCCTGGCGATGAAACCTGTGTGATCCAAATGCCATTGCTGCTTAGTGTTCAAACTACCATGATGTGATGGTTAATAGTGGTTAATAGTGGTTAATAGTGGTTAATAGTGGTTAATAATGGTTAATAATGGTTAATAATGGTGGTTAATGGCAGTGGGTCAATACCTATAGATACATTACTATAGTGGGTTATTTGAACATCCATAAATCCCAGCTATGACTTGGGGTGAACAAAAGGTACCAGGGTTTTGACCCATCCCCATGTGATGGTTCATCAATATGATTCAAATATATACAGTTGCATGAGTTGAATGGTAGGCCCCGGCTCTTGTATAATACACAGTTGTCACACGGCATAAGTGTAATCGGGTTGTCCATCGCCTATAGGAATCTCCGCGGGTAAATATTTAGCGTGCGATACACCTTCAGGCTTTAGGCTATTGAGATCTATTGACATTGTTGAAATTCAGTCTCATTGTGACTGTGCAGAAATTCTGGAACGCTATCGTCGAAGATTGCTCCAAACAAATAGAAATCACCGCGGCTGCCCTGCCTCCCTCTCTCCTATTCCTTGAGTCCATCACACCCCAGATTCCGATTTTCCTTCAGACCTCCCACTAGGGATCGCACCCTATCTTGAAGTTCCTGTGGAAGGTAAACGACCTGAGACACAGTGAAACAGTGTTAAACCCTACACAGCGGCTGAAGACGGCAGAGTTACATGCTTCGATAATCTTTGGAATACTTGAAAACGCCGTATTTCTGAGGTATATCATCATTACTCACCGCTGCTGATCACTATCTCTTTTGATAAGTCAAACCTTTTACTCCAAGTTTCTGCCATTTCTGTGGATTAAAATGTGCATTCCGGCTGTTGAAAAAATCACCATTTTCTGTGTATCCTGATTGTTCTTGGATAAAATCTTGCACAGACGATATCAAAAATCAGGTTTTCCGCGGCCCTGCCCGCAGTTCTGCCACAGACCAAATCCCCCAGTGGCGTAGCAAAACTCCGTGGGTTTATCCTAAGATCCTGCGAAAAAACCCATCCAAAAAGTAATGATTTTGTGGCTCCGAAATGGTACCAACAAATTTTAGACCCAGCACTTCATGGTTTTGCCTGAAAATAGGCTACCCCTGAATGTGATGGTTATGTACACTTTCTCTATTAAAGTTGTTCTTTGGGGGGTGCCATTTTCAGATAAACACAAACATCAGATTGTACGTTATATCCCCTATCCTCATAAAAAGTGTCCATGCATCCCCATAAATTGTTGGCTAATACCACATTTGTTCCTATTATTCATTGATTAAAGCTCTTTCAAATCATATAAAATGGTTGCTAACTTTAGTAACCCCCCAAAAACATGCCTTTTGAAGTAAATGATCACTATGTTGGATTGGGATTTTACCAATTTGTTTAAAACCCTTTTCACTGGCCATTTTGGGCATTTCCAAGGTCCATCTTTCGAAAAGTCCAGGTGGCCCAGGATGGCGCTTCAGTGGCGAAGCGGAGCCTTGAACTCAGGGCCTGCAGGGGATGTGCCTGGCGAAGCAGTCTTGCCAGTGATGTGAATTTCCCTTCGGATTTTGTATATTCATGGTTATGTAAGTTATGGAGGGAGATTCACATCCACATGGGTATGGATCAATACCTATAGATACATTTTTAGTGGGTTATTCACATCCATAGATCCCAGCTATTTTGATGTGAACAGAAGGGGTACCAGGGTTTTTGACCCATATCGATGGGATCACCGGTATGGTTGTCAACGACTTGACCGACTTGAGTGGGATGCACAGCCAAAAAAATGGACAAAAAATCATTCATGAATGAGAAAATTATGAGAATTCTGCCACCAACATTGGGATACAATAGTTTAAGATAGTTTTTTTTGGTGATTTTGGAACAACATCAATGTTCCATATTAGTCGATTTAAATGATTTAAAAATCAAAAAAACGAGGATTTAACCCTTAAAAAATTGGACCATTTTTGTCTGGATTCTTGATTAAAAAATACTTTGGTGGTTAACATCAACCAATCACCAAGTAGTTAATTAATGTTAATTAGTTGCCGTAGTTTTCATAAAAGTTGCCCGTTTTTAGGCAACCAACCAACCACCCAAACGACCGAAAGGCCTGCTGCCGGCCAACAGAAGAACCTCAGATGTACAAGGCTGCCATGGTCCTGTATGGTCCCCCATGTTGACGCATCCTCAAATCATTGCCGGACTTCAGACCTGACAAGAATTTAAACAAATCCAATCAGAAAAAATCAGAAAAATGTGTGATTTACATCTATAATCATTTAAAAACCATAATCATAATCCAATTTTCCTTAAGTTTTGTGTGATTTCGTCCCTAGTTTCAACACGACCCCAGCGTCCTGAGGTCCAAACTTTCTTGGTCGGCGTCGGTGGGATGCATGGTGAGGTTTTCTGAAGGAACAGGGCAAAAAAAACCCAGAAACGCTTGAACCATGACACACCGGGAGTATGCAGGTGGAATCAGGCAAAGGCGGTTTCGTTTCGAGCAAATCAAAATGGTTTTAAAAGCGAGGCAGCACGGATTCACTTTGTTTGTTTTTTTCACACATGCTACACGTACACATGCTCAACATTTTTCATCACCTGTTTTTCATCACGCACGATTTTCTTCCATTGTGGATACCCAAATGCATCGAACGATCTGTCGCGGCAAAGTTTTCCATTGTGCACCCCCGAATGTCCAAATTCATGTGCCCAAACATGTGGCAAGCGGACATTGAGTTTTCAATTTATTAGCAAATGGGAAATTTGGTCGCAAAGTCAATCCTTTGTTGAAACCTCCATTTGTAATGCATGATGTGTCCAAAACAAAAATTGAGACAACCATGAATTGGGGGCCAACTGCCATGCACGACAGTCGCACATGTGCAGGGTTGATGGCACTAGATGGTTTTGGGATGTTTTTGGGAATTTACTTGATTTTACCCTTTGAAGTTGTATCCAAGCACATGGCCCTTCACCCCTGCACGGCAAAAGTCCAAAGAGTCCAAATTTTTGCAAAGTTTGTAGCAATATAATTGATGCCGATAATGATGTTGATCATGGGGATGATGATGATGATGATGATGATGATGATGATGATGATGATGATGCTTTTGATGATGCTTTTGATGATGCATTTGATCATGCATTTGATGACGCATTTGATGATGCATTTGATGATGCATATGATCATGCAATGATGATGCATTTGATGATGCATATGATCATGCAATGATGATGCATATGATGGTGCATTTCATGGTGCATTTCATGGTGCGTGATGCGTGATGCATGATGCATGATGCATGATGCATGATGATGCATGGTGCACGGTGCTGCTAGTTGTGGTGACGGCGGCGACAACAGCTGTTTCGCGCAGCATCCTTATTAATTGATACTGGTTTGTCTTGGTGGTGAGTCCCAAAGCAATCGCGTTCCTTTGGCATCAACTCACTCACCATATGAGTTGCCGCTCTGCTGAACCCATTCGCTGCCCAATAAACAATGGAAAAAAAAAAAAACACCGCAAACATGTTTCCAATTTCAAGAGGCCAACCAATAACCATTGTCGGTTAATAAGCATCCTCAACTAATACACATTAATACCCAGCGGTAGTTCAATCAATAATCACTGGTCAATCAACAACCATTGATGGTCAAATCACGCCCCTCAAGCCCGTCATCGCGCTATTTTCTTCACCATTGCTCCCGCGCCAGGTGTCAAAATGGACTTCAATTGCACAACTGGCTGGAACCATTTGGTGAGCACAACCTCGAAAATGGGCACCAAACGCTCCCCTAAAATTTGGCAATGTTTAGTGGGAAACCATCCGTTACCTGTTGTTTCACGATGTTGGGCCATACACATATGATTAGGTACACTCGTTGAGGATTCAGTACAGCTTATTGTCATGCAAGTAGATCAACTTAACAAGAATTGTTTCTCCTGTAATACAATTTGTATTTGTAAAACCAACCAGACAATGAATGAATGAATGAATGATTGAATGAATGAATGGATGGATGAATGAATGAATGAAAGAATGAGTGAATGAATGAATGAATGAATTAATGAATGAAGGAATGAATGAATGAAGGAAGGAAAGAATGAACGAATGAATGAATCAATCAATGATAATCAATCAATCTATCTAACTATTAATGAGTCAGTCAATCAATCAAACAATGAAGCAATCAAGTAACCAATCATACATGGTCATCAGTTAATCACTCACCAATGTTGTTGTTAATCAACAATTAACAAACAATCAACACAAAAGTCACAATCAAAGGCGGATCATTTTTTGATCAGCATAGAATATTGGTCGCTTAATTAAAAAAATATTAACTGCCAGTTCTCCATCGCAGCACTGCACATTTGGTTTCAAGGTGACCAACTCGACACTGAGATTTCCTGCCCTTCTGCTTTTGCAGCTCCTGAAACACGCGCTGAGGCGCGTTGTGACACATGATATCTGAATCTATTTAATACAATATAATATGACATAATATGACATATTATGGTACAATCTGATATGATATAATATGATCAATTTTACCATGATATGATATGACATGAAACGATTTGATGGGAATTGATAAATGTTCAAAACAAATGTATAACAAAAGATTATATAATATAACATAGTTGAATATACTATAATGTAATATAATGTTATATATTGTAGTGTAATACAACATATTGTGATATATTGTCATCAAAATGTAATATAACAAAAATAATGTAATACAATATCATTTAGACTGATGTAATATGATATGATACAATGCGATACAGTATGATACAATATAATTTGACATAACATGAGACAATACGGTTTGACTTGGCATAAAGTATCATTTAATTTCCCAAAAAAAACATGCAATGTCATGTGGTAACAAATGCTCTAAAAAATGTTTGTAGTATTATATAATATGACACAATATGATATTATATTTTAAAAGTATTGTAAACCATGACCAAATATAATAGATTATGATATCATATGAAATGCTATGATAGGATATGATATGAAATAATCTGAATTAGTATGAAATAATGTGATATGACATTTTGGTTTAAAAAAAAACATAGAATATAATACATTAAAATAAAATACAATAATATATGATGTGATGTGATTAGGATTTGCGTTTATATAATGAAATATATGATATGATATGGCATGCCATGGCGACAGCACCATATCATACAGTAAACCCCGCCTGCTCCAGAAAACCTCGTTGCAAATTTAGTTCCAAAAAAAATTCTCTTCAGCAAGTTGACGAAAAACGTCTCAAACCATTCTGTATCAATTCAAAGCTCTGCCCAAATAAACCATTGACAACTTGATGTTGTGGCCACAATGCAAGTTACATCCAGAAAGGTAGCACATGCAGTCGCCATAAGGCTGGAGATGCAAAATTTCCGTTTTACCACAGTTTTGTGTCAGTTTTGATTAGGTGCGGAGTCTTGGCATAGTTGGGCGGAGTCGATACACCTGCTGAAACCCCATATAGGATGGACAAAGAGCTGAAAGAGTTCCAGTTGTGACTCCAGGCGATTCGCAAGATGCGCAAGATGCCGTTTGATTTTTGAGGTTTTCAGTTTCAGACTTAGGAGGGTTCCCAAAGCAGGAGGTTCGACCATCACCCCGAAAACTCTTCTTGCTGCATGCGGTACTTGAGACTTACTTGTCCACCACGTCACAATCGCGGCCCCGTACCCGGGGGGGAGTCGATCCGCGGCTAGCTGTCTATGCACGGTCCGGAGACGGGCATTACACCACTACGCGACGAGATCGCCTACAGTTGCACGAGCTATGAAGTCAGTCAAGCACAGAAAGCTCTCTTGCCACTGCCCCGCGCCGAAAAAGGATCTAGCACGTCTTCAGCAGAACATGCCAACTACCGGAACTCACTCACGAAGATGTCCTGCAAGAGCACTAGAACCCAGCCAAGGCTGATGACAGACAAAGCACACGTGAGAGGACTCTGAGTCGTCCCTGAGTGCCGTTAGTTCTTTGTCGTTTCACCTTAGCTCCGCTTTCACACCACGTTTCACTTTTCAACATCTACTTACCAGATGCGACAAGACAGCGTCTTGCTGGCTCTGGGATCGTATCCATGCATCTGTGAGGCATGCAATCTGTGATCTCGAGGCTCCTGGCTGGTTTCCGCATCTGCTTCCTGGTTCACAGATTGTTGTATGGCACTTTGTTGTTTGTTGTTTCGCTTTTGTTTCACATTGCCATACCAACCTCTGTAACGACCTGGCGAAAACCATGCGTTGGACGGAAAAAACATTCTCTTGGCGGAGGCTGTGGTACACTGGCAGAACCGTTCAGGCTGGAATAAACATTTATGAGCTAACATTCCACGCTACATTGACCCCAGTTTGTTTAAACTCTGCCGTGATGCATCGCACTTGCCCCTCTAATTTTGATGACGCGGCAACCTTAAGACTCAGATAAAACTCTTTAAATCAATTCTTTTAGTAGCATAAACGAGAGGTGGAGTGATCTGGTTTCGAGTTCGTGTCTGGCAGACATCCGGAGAGCCACTAGCCATTCAGAGAAAAACTCAGGCGACCCGATGGCTCAGTTGGTATGGCGTTGGTCTTGCCAGCGCTGACAGACTGCCGGTGGTGGTTCGAATCCCTGCTGGTCCAATCGGGAGTCTCAAGTGCGACCCGCCGAAAGGCAACGGGCGCCGACCACAAAAAAAACTAGCCATTCAGAGAAAAACTCGATGATCCGCAGCTCAAGGTCAGCTAGGATGCCTTTCAAATCAGACGCTCTGTATTTCAGGGTTTGTACGGCGGTTTTCGGGTTATCTGGACGCTGAATTCAGAAGTAAGTTGTTCTTGTCCTTATTCCAGTCGTTATTGCTCGACTCCAAGCGTTTCCGAATCGACAATTTCAAAAAAGCTTTACCAAGTTTGAAATATATTTAATTTATTTTTGCTTGAGCCTCTGCTTCGCTGCACCTGCCATGATTTTAACGAACTACGATAGGTGCGTGTGTTCCAACTGCCCTCCCAGCTTATTTAGTTTGAAGATTTGGAGCGATGGATTTGAAGCAAAGGCTGGGACAGACATTCTCCGCGTGTTGTAGCTAGAGCCTAAGCCAATCACATTGAAGCAGAGACAGTCCTGTTGGAAGCGGGAAGTGGCAGGCGACCCGATGGCTCAGTTGGTATGGCGTTGGTCTTGCCAGCGCTAACAGACTGCTGGTGGTGGTTCGAATCTCTGCTAGTCCACTCGGGAGTCTCAAGTGCGACCCGCCGAAAGGCAACGGGCGCCAACCACAAAAAAATGTTGGAAGCGGGGTGGCAGACCTACAGTCGAGGTCCCTTTATGGCTTCCCTGTTTCTACTAGTTTTTTGGATCTTGTTTTGGGGACCATGAT